CTCACCAAAAGGCTGCTGTCACGAGTGCCTTGGTTGTGAGGCCTGTGGGCTAGTCGGTGTTGGCGCCCCGGGAGCGGGAGCGATCCCTGGCACGGCTTTGGGTGTTGTGGTTGCTCTGGCCGGTGCGATGGTTTTCGCGTGGTGGAGGGCCAGTCCAGTAGTGGTGAAAACGGAGTGCGTCCTCAGGTGGTGTACCTGGTGGTGGTGAATGCGTGTGGTCTGATGGTGTCGATGGCAAAGGGAATCCGGGTGGAGTGCTGTGGAGGGCAGCTAGGGTGCTGGAGGAAATCCGTGCTGAGGGATCAATGCGATATTGTCCCGGGAGGCCAGGCTGTCCGGGAACAAATTGGAGCAAACGTCGGGCTTGGGCGATGCTGTCCACCAGGCGGTCCAGTAGCGTCGTGTCTCGTCGGTATTGGTAGAGTATGTTGTAGGCTCTGTCATCTTGGAAGTATGTTTGATTCGGCATAGGTTCTGTGTGCAGTGATGTGTTGGACGATCAGGAAAAGGATGTCGAGCGAGGAGTTGAGTGAATGTAGGTCAGGTTGATGGGTAATGGACGGTTCAAGGTAAATGGGAGGTCGTCCGGGTAGGTAGTAATTGCCAGCAGTGTTGGCTGCAATGCGATCACGGGAGGAGGCCATGAGTGATGGCAAGGAGGCTGAAAGTCACGTAAATGCTGCGGGACTGTGGTGAGCCTGTCAGAAAAACAAAGTGTATGTCGCAAAGGCATGTAGTCAAGCGGCAACAGTAAATGCTTGAAAGTGGGGGTTTTTGCGAGTTCACAGTGAAATGAGAAAAATTGAGGAAAAATGAGCTTGAAGCATAATGACTGCTTGTTGGAAAGTCAAGGAAGAAAGTCAAAAGATGTGGTGTTGAGTTTATCCTGTGGCACGCCGTGGAAAATGGGTGAAACCGGTCAAATGAAATAGCTGCCAATAGGCATGTCGAAAGGTGGTTCCGGATGCCTGTTCTCACTAGGCGCTCGCTCAGCAGCCGGCTGCGGTGGCAAAACTTCGTGTGGAGACACTTCGTGTGGAGACACAGGGGTTGTCGTTGGGGAGGGTGAGAAGTCTGGTTGTGATGGCTGTGGTGGTGTGTTTGCTGGTGATGTAGGAGTAGGCGAGATGTGGTTCGGAGTGGAAGGTAGAGGTTGTGGGGGTGGTGTCATCTTCTCTGCATCTGTGGTAAGTGGAGTGGATTCAGGCGGTTTGGTGTCCTGTACTCTTTGCAGATCTTGAAGCTCTTTCCATCGAGCTTTGCACTGCTCAACGGAGTATCCGACCCGTCGGGCAACAAAGATCCAATTGGGTCGAAGCTTGGGGTTGGCTTTGAGCTCCACGAGGCGACAATCAGCCTCACCATCCCAGGCATCCCAGTCTGCATGTGGGTTGAGTGGAGGCGGTGGTGGCTGTTTGCGCTTGCGAGCCGGTGTACGCTTGGGTGGAGGGGTAGGAGAAGGTGTGTCTTCGGAGTTGATGGAAGGCTGTGGTGGTGGGCGGACTCGTGGTCTGGGTGGTGCAGAGTCGCAGGAAGAGGTTGGGGAGGGTAAACTGATGGAGTATGTTGGTGCTGGTGGCAGCTGTGTAAAGGGTCGGTGGAAAGTGGGATCTGCCTGTCCGATGTGATGTAAAAAGCGAGTGTGAAGATGTGCCATGATGTCGGTTGCTTGTCGGAGGAGGTTCTGAATCTGAGAAAGCGCCACTGTCGTTTGATGTAGTAATGTATTGGTGTCTTCATGAGGAGGTGGGCTTGTGCTGGTCATATGTTGGGAATGTGTGTAGGATAATTCGTTGGAGCTCTTCGTACTTCTTAGCTGCAGCGCGGCGGCTCTGCGGCTGGTCAACGGCGGCGCAGCATCACGAAGGCGTGCAAACGAATTAATCACAAAGACCGGGCCAAAATTCATGCGAAATGATTTCAAACTCAGCATGAAACAGTGGAGAAAGAGTCGCAACATAAGAGTGACAGTTCCCTTGAAAACTTCCAAGTCTGAAAAGCTGGTTGTCATGTAACATCAAAGCTTGGTTGCCATGTAACAGCAAAGCTTGGAATGGCTTTGCAAGCGCCAACGTTGTTTTCGGCTGTTGGTGAAGCCGAAAGTGTGGCTAGGTGAAACAAAGGGTTGTAATGGGTGGTTGCTGGGTTGTGGTGTGTGGAGGGGTCATAGTTCTGGTGGGGTGGAGTTGATGGACCATGCCAGTCCTTTGACAATGGCATGGTCGGGGTGGATGACCCAGCATCTGCCTTTCTGATGAAAGACTGCTCCGTGGTGGTCCTGTAGAAGGGTCATAGCCTGCTCCTCGCCGCCAGAGGTGTACTTCGTGGCGGCGCCCCAAGCCAGGAGTGTGACAGTGAGGGAATGGGTGTTTTTGGAGAGTTGCCATGTATTGTGGATGATGTGAGCAAATTCGCCGTGGTCATGTTGTTGGTTGTGTGTAATGCGGACGCCTTGAGCAAAGAATCCGGGATAGTTTGGGAAGTGGAGTGTGCTGGGTAGGAAACGGCCTTGTCGAATGTTGGTGATGTTGCCGACAGGGCCGGTGTGGCCGGCGTTGATGTGGGCGACTTCCCTGTCAGTGGAGGTGGCGCGGGAAACGGGTGGTGGTGAGGTTCTGGAGGCTTTGGTGTTGAGATAAGGGAGTGAGATTGCGTTGTATTGGAGCTGATCGTATTGCTGGGTGGCCTCATTCCACTTGACATAGGTGTATTGCCTGAAGTCAGTGATGTCTTTGTATGTGATGTTGCTGTCAAAGAGAAGGTTGGCCAGGTATTGATGTTGAGGTCGATTGGAAGCGTCGAGCTGGTCAGCATGAAAGTCAAGCCAAGTGAGGATTTGCTCCTGAGGCGACAATTTTTGAAAGTGTGGTGTGGGTCGCCAGAAGTTGGATGGTCGACGGACCACTGGTGTAAGTGGATATTGCGAGGTGCTGGTGTTGGTATTGTCTGCTGCGGAGGCATCTGTGTTGGGTCGTAAGTCGATCGGTTGCCTGGAGCGGCTGCGGGAGGGTGTGGAGGAGTAGGAGTATGTGGATGTGGATGGCGAGCGATGTCTCCAGGAGGAACTGTGATGTTTGGTGGTCTTGGAGTGGTGGCGGTGTGTGCGCCGACGGCGACGTCGGTGGCGACCGTGTCTGTGGTGGTCGGTCTTGCGGCAGCTCTTGTGATGGTGGCGGCGACTGCTGTGGGGTTGATGGGGGGATGGTTGGGCTGGTGAAACTGTGTTGGCTGGTGCCCCGGCGGCGGGGTCAGGAGTCACTGTGGCCGGTGGTGCTGAGGCGATGGATGGCGATGGAGAGGGTTGTGAGACAGTGGCCGTAGTCGCTGGGTTGGGAACTGGATTGTTAGGGTCCTGTGGTGCAGGTTGCTGGTGTGGTTGTGGGTCTTGTGGTGAATCACTGAGTGCCAGTTGGGGTTGTGATGGAGAATGTTGCAAAGGTGGCGTAAGGGGGAATGCTGAAAAAGGTTGCCATACCCCTTGCGGCATGTGCCACTGGGGTTCTGTTGGTGTGGTAGCCCTTCGCAGGAGTCGGCTGTATTGGGGTGGCTGTGGCGGGGTCGGTAGGTGGTGAATGGTGTAATTGTTGCACCAGGTAGGATGGGGGAGGTGCCTGTGGTTGATATGTGGTTTGCGGTTGCGTCGGTTGTGGCTGAGAAGGGTGTACAAGGGTCCACGTGGAGTGAGGACCATAAGGTAATGCATTTGGTTGTGCTGAGTGAAAAGGTGTTGGAGTTGGAATAGCCAGAGGTTGTGGAGCTAGAAATGTTGGGTGTTGTGGTACGGGAATGGCCGGATGTTGTGGATAAGGAAATGCTGGTGCTGTGTGTGGATGTGGCAAATGTGTTGTTGGTTGTGTTGGTGCAGTGGGTAGTGGAGGTGGTGTTGCGTGTGAGTAAGGCCAGGGATACTGCATCGGGCGTCCAGTGGAGGACTGTCGAAAAACTCGTGGCAGCTGTTTGGCAAAGTCTTCGCAATGGCGGCGGCGCGGCACGGCAGCGGAGACAGCAGCTGGTGTAATCGTTCAAAAAATTGAGATGGTAATGCGTGGTTGGAATGTGGGTATGTGTTGTTGTGGAAAGGTGAGAGTTGTAGTCATGTGGAATGTTGTTATGTGGTGTTGTAGTGTGTTCATGCAAGTCGAATTAAACTGCTCAAAAAACTCAAATCGCACTGCTTGAGGAAACATTCGCAAAAACATGCAAGACCATGCAGAAAACTGTGCAAACTCTGCGAACTGTGCGAACTGGCAGGTCCCGTGTTTAGGCCCGGCGGCCGTTGAGGCAGTTAATTCGTTGGAAGTGGAGGTGAGTTCCAGTGAAATTCCGGTGAGCGGTAGTGAGTTCCGTTAAAGATTTCCCAATGAAACAGCGCCCCAGTGACGGGGATCACACTCAGCACCCGAGTGGGACGGCTGAGCGAAACACACTCTGACATTGGTATTCAGTTAACTCAGTTCCCAGGTCAAAAGGAATGAGGGAAACGCAAGGTGAAAGGGTCAGCGCAACTGAATTGTTGAACAAATGTTCACTTGTCTGCAGAAACGCGGCTGAACGACGGCGACTGAAAGCAGCTGTGGGAAACCTGTTTGAGGGGGGAGTATCGTGATCAACAACCATGGCATCAAAACACAGCAAGGAAGAGTGGAGTGGTGTCACGGCGCAGGTACGTCATCAGGCGTCCCTGATGATATCCTAGGAGCACGTGAGGAGCTTCGTTGGATGGAGCCTCACGTGTCCTCTCCATCCCCCTGCTTGTGAAACAGTGGTGAAGGTGAAGGTGGTGGCGAACCCTTCGGCACAGGGGTTGACACACACACACACATGAAACAAACAAACAAACAAACAAAGAAAACATCTAACAACGTTAAAAAAGAACCATCTTTCTTGAGAAGGATGTTCGTTGAGGGTGTCTCCTTTCAACCAATCTTCACGTCTCGCGTCTCACCGCCTCTTTCGTCACATGAGCTCGCTCGGCGGTGTTCGTCATCGTCGTCCTCCAGGCTCGTGCAGCGTCTGCCACGGGTCCAGTGGCCGACAAATTTCAGGCGTGGTTTCCCGGATGGTTCAGGCAAGCAGGCCTTTCCCTAATCATATAACGATTTTCAGTCATGTGGAACTTCGTCCGGACTCCTGTTACAGGTTTTCTGGACACCCCCAAGGTGTGGAACTGATGTCATGAAATCGGAAGTGAAAAAAGGAGACAGGATCCGTCATGAATCGAAGCCAACCAAACGGATTTGTGCGGTCTAGGTTCTTTCTGGGAAGGGGGTTGAACTGGCGGTTATCCATGGTTATCCCTATTCCAATACACACACAAATCATTCAAACTTCAAAATCAATGCGAGGAGACCAGGTCAGAAATCCTATCCCACATCCTATAAATGCCGTCTGCCACTGGTTTCCATGGTATTCATCCGAACCATCGGAACTAGTCTCTTAGTTCCAATCTGGTATCGAAAGAACTTTCTGGAATGGAATCTTACCAAACGCCTGGGAGTTCCGGTTGATTCACTGCTCTCAACAATTGCTTCGGACCTTCGTAGCGCCGACAGTCGTAGTCGTAGTCCACACGGGGGCCTTGATCAGGCGTCATGCTACAATCTCTTAGAATCTCTTGAGTGGCTCTCCCTGGTATCTCTATATGACTATGTTTGTATACAAACAGCTGTTTTACGACTTGAAGAGTAAGTTATAGTAAGTTACTTCCGCCGCAACATTGATGGACACGATCCAGTACCACCGAAGGCTTTTTAGATCTTTTTAGCATTGACAATTTGACAATCTACCCAGAAGAGGACAATTCCCTCTTGATTGTATGTGTGAATCAGCATGAATCAGCCCCATGTTCTTTAAGACCATCATGCAGCGCAACGATCAGGCTGCCGGCTCCGAGCCGCCTTCAGAACTGTTGGAGGCAGCCGAATTCTACCGATCAACGTCACCAGTTCCGCATTGGTTGACGTTGTTCCAAGGCTTCGCCCCCCAAAGCAGTTGCGGATCGATTTCAGACGGGCAGAGGCATGTCGATTTCAACATCCACGACATCTACCGCGCGCAAAGATGAAGTAGGAACAATGAGAGTCTTGATCACAGGAAGGATAATGTTTGTCTTGAGTGGGCAGAGGAGTGACTCACCCCTGACAAAAATCTTTAAAGAATGACTTACCTTGAAACTAGCCTCACCTACCTCGAATGTCACATACTTGAATTTGGGTTTGTTTGTGGGCCTTTTTCAAGGCATGATTGCGGAATTGCATTATTGGTCGACCCCGGTGAGCCCTCAGATCCATCCATCCAAACAACGAGATCGCGAGCAGATCCACAGGTGATCAAAGGCTTTTTGCAAGCAGCGGTGAAGGAGGCGTGTATTGCAGTCGTGAAGGCTTGTTTAAGGTGCTGGTTATGCTGGTGTTTTTTGTTATTAGCCACGTATAGACATAGGTCTTTCAAATAAAAGGAACACGTCAGATTGATTTGAAGACTAGGTCATGCCGTCACCTCTTTTTCCTTCGGCATTGGTCCTCTCAGGTTTCAAGATCAGACTTGGCGCACCGTGAAACCGCGCTCCGTTTCGCTCCGCAGGCGCACTTGCGGGACGAGTTCCGCGCTTCCCCGTCCTGCCTCGTGGGCGTCCCTCGTCCTGCCTCGGACGGCGACCGCGGACGTCCGCGCGGAGCCGCGAGACCAGAGCGGAGCGGCGAGCGGAGTGGAGCGGCGCGGCGCGGCGAGGTGCTGTGGGCCGCCTCGCAGTGTGGGGTGCCCTGTGATACTCTGACGCAGGCGCGAGGCGAGTCGAAGTTCTCGGACAATGGGGTGGAGAGTGGGAAGATGGAAGTGGCGACGTCTGGAGGGATGCTTGATTCGGTTCCGTAGTTGTGGAGGAACATGCAGAAAGCACTTTTGGCCCAAGGTGTTGGCGGAGTTACGGACTAAGCATGCACAGGGAACGATCATTGTGCAATGTTTAGTTTGCAAGGATTGTGCCATGGTGGTGCTCACTCTTACTCCGTATTATCTTTCTGGCTTGAGTCTATTCATATACACATCATCCGTAGCCATTTTGGCTCGAAGCATTTCCTCTAGTCGGCAGGAGCTAATGGAGATCACCACACTCTCAGGTGCCACTCTCACAAAGCTTCATGAGAAGGAATTGGCCTACATGGTGGAGAATGGACATTCTGTTCGGGAAAACTCCTGGCGGATCGAGTTGGGTTCTCAAGATTTCGACAAAGACTCTTGAGTGGAGAGGTGGGTGAGCTACAGGATGACATGCCTGTCAGACAAGTACCAAGCTTGCAGTTGATAGTCCTGAACTATTGTGCGCCTGAGGAGGCCGTTTGGAAGGCACTGCTCCATGCGTGTAAGAAGAATCGAATTGCTCAAGTCACTCGATCCCAATGGAAGAGGTGCAGAAACTGACCCCCTACTTCTGTCTGCTGCAGCAAAAGGAGGCCACTTGGAAGTGGTGCGGTTGTTGCTCGAGGCTGGAGCTGACAAGAATGCAGACCGGCCAGATGGGGTAACAGCCTTGATGCTTGCAGCCTATAATGAACACTTGGAAGTGGTGCGGTTGTTGCTCGATGCTGGAGCTGACAAGAGCTTCGACTGGCCACTTTCAAGTGGTGCGGTTGTTGCTCGAGGCTGGAGCTATAAGAATTTAGTGCGGCGATGGCAGATGGGACAACTGCGTTGATGGATGCAGCTCAGAATGGCCACTTGGAAGTGGTGCAATTGTTGCGCTGAGGGAGTTATTCCATTGCAGCTGTTCAGCTACAGCTTGGCTAGACCACGCCTTGTGCTTTTGACAGGAAGAAGGCATGCATTAAGTAACGAAAAGACACATTATGCACATCACTCATCACCCCTCTTCCTTTCGCGGTGCATTTCTTTTGGGTTGCTCCGTTCTTTCAGCCATGCCACATGGGGCGCGCCTGCAAACCCAAAACCCCTCCTCTTTGCCCAGCCCACTCCCTACCCTCCTCGTCCTCGTGGTGCGTCGCGGTGCGCGCGGCAGGTGGCCAAGGGCGTTTTGCTTCCACCCGATGCCGGCCGCACGCCCGATGGGAATGGCCGCGGCGTGGTGGAAGACCGGTCGGTGGTGCGGCACAGAACGGGAACGGTGTGTTTGGAAGACCGGGACCGGGAAGTCATGGAAGACCGGTTTTTATCCCAAGAAAACATGTTTTTCATGAACGGTCGATATATGTCACATGACCTGTCAGGCAAACAGTGATCATTCCCTTCGAATCTACTCTTTCAGGGAACCAGATCTCCTGCAAATGTTGCAAAGAAACTAGAGGGATACAGTAGAATTGCCAGGGTTGACAGAATGACCTGACTGGTACATGGCTCCTTTATCTCCGTGCTTTCAGGGGAAGCCTGATACTGATTCTCCATCCCCAGTGCAGGTCGCTTCCCCACGCAGGCACCAGGTCACTGATGATCGGTGTACGTTTCGACCCGCGATCACAGCGGAAAACACCCGCCCAAGGCGACTCCAGCCAGCTCCGGAAACTGCAGCTGCCCGAGCTGGCCGAGCTGGCGCAGGAGCCAGACCAGACCGACCGGTGACCGAGCTGTCTTCACGTGATGTCCTTGGGATGTCCGCAGGTCCTGGAGGGATTTGAGCCAACTCCAAGATCAGCGGGTCCATGGGCACATGACCGGGACTTCCAACTGCGTTAGGGTTTGGCACTGGGTTTGGCTAAGGTCTTACAGTATCTCTTCGTGCCCTTTCGTTCTCCACGTTAGGATATTATATAATATGTTAAACAAACAACTCGTTGACGTTATATAGAGTCTAGAGTGTGTGTGAAAGGAATTCGTTTCTTCAACTATGGAGCAAACTATGGATCCTATTCTTATTTTTTAGAGCTTCTCCTGGACCTGCTGCCACCTGTCCTGCCGCCTACTCTTCCACCTCCAGGCCTTGACCTCACTGGGCGTCGAGGTGCCGGAGCTCTACCGGGCCATCTCCGACGTGGCCATTCAATGTCTGCAGGACAGGAGCCCTGCCCTGGGTCTGGGGCCCTCGGCGACTCGATGTGTCGGGGGACGATAATATAGGGCAGGGAGGAGGACCAGGCATGTGTGGGGGAGTGATTAGGTTGATTAGGGAAGGGTGGGTGCGTCTTCCGTTGAGTGCAATTCTTGCGTTCATTTCCTTCGTCGATTCGCTGGTTTCGGTCGGTGAAGTAGAAATGACGGTGAACACCCAATTGTCCTGCACGGCACGAAATCCGCACGTCACCAGCATTTTCCTTCACATTCAAGGCGTGAAGGGGGATACACCAGCCAAGTCAGCAAGTCGAACCCACTTGCACTGACCGCCTTACACGACCGACCGCCTTCACGACCCCCAGGATCAAGCTAGCGATGTAGGGGCGGCCCAGGAAGCGGTGGCGGAAATCGGTGCGTTCACGAGCCATCTGGGCCAGCGTTGATTGACCAGTTCTAGCTTCAGATGGCTAAGTGACTTGGAACATGGACGAGTCAGCATCCCTATGACTGGCTATATTTAGCTATCCAATCCCACCGAGAAAACCTGCAGTGTGCTTTTCTGTTAGTCCAGGGTCCATCTCTTTGAGTGGGAAGGATTTTTCTCCAAACAGTGTGGGCACATTGAGGCCGGGATAATTTTTGCAGGGTCCCTGGTTTGATCCCAACGACCACCAGATGGCTCGAGACTCGGCTCGTTCACAGCTGCTCACTGGCGCAGCTTGGGCTCTTGAGGGCAGAGGTGATGGAACCGAGCACAAGCTGCCGAGACTCGAAGAGACTCATCGAACTGCATGATCTGGAGACTGAGGACAAAATCCATGGAAGGAAGGTCATAACATCTTCCTGCATCATCCCCCTTAAACATCATAAGGAGAAGGATGTTGTGTCCGACGTAACCCCTCTGGGAATTGGTGTGTTGTCCTGGCCAAGGTTCCTGTCAACAGAAGAATCCTTTGTTCCGCAACACAGCGAGCCCTTTTGGGACGTTGCCACATCCCCTGAACCCATGTGAAGCATGGGAAGCCGGGCGATCACCAGTCATCATCCAAGTCCCACGCAGCCGGTGTTTTCCAGTCGCGTTGACCAATGGATCCTGAAGTTCGACCTTTGCAAATACCATGAGCCACAAGGACTGGTGCAAAAGAAAGCAGGGCCGCTCCCAGCGGATCATCAAACGACTCGAGGCGGCCGCCTTTCCTTTTCATCGCATGACCTGTTGGAGAAACCAGCAAACCAAAAAAACAATGCAACCAAAACACACAGCGAAACAACAGAACAGTATCCTTTTTTTGTTCAAGACATTCCAACAGTCCTCTTCCATCCCCCTTGCCATCGTCCCCAGGTGGCTGGCGACCACGTCTTGCTCCCGCTACGCATTGGCGAGGAAGTGGCCTTGAGCGGCACCCTCCATCTCCGCGTGCTGCGCGGCGCGGCGGAGGTCTGGGGGTCCAGGCTCTCCAACGAGTCTCGGACTGCCGGTCGGAGACAGCGAGGGGAAAGGTGGTGGTGGATGGTTGTGCGTATTTCGGAGACAGCCAACCAATGGGTAGACTGGTCTAGTAGTCTATGGTCCTAGACTGGTCTATGAAGGAGTTTGATCTGGGAGGTCCCCCTATCATCTTGATACGCTTCCAAATGAAGCTTCTAAAGTGCTCAACATGGGGTAGCCAGGTAGATAGAGTAAACAGGAGGCTGCAGCTTCAATTGTTGTTCTTTCAGAACCGATATCGTGTTGTTTCTTGAGGAGACCATGGACATCCAGCATACCAGACTGTCTTCCGGATGAAGCACATCCAGTAGCGTACCTATCGACATCATCAACCTGTGGCCGTCGCATCGGCGTCTTTTGATCCCGTCGCATCCGCGTCGTCCGCGCGGACGGTCCGCGCGGCGCCCAGGAGTTTCGACGCATCGTGGTGCCTCCCTGGTCTCCGACGCCCCGACTTCTGGCTCTGCGCGGAGCTGACGAAGACGTGGCAACGTCTGAGCCGGCAGAGATTCGCGCCGCGGAGGGGAATAGGTTCAATTTCTATATAGACTTTTGATTAACAACCCCCCCATTTGGATTGTACAACCCATCATCTATCTTCATATGGGGGGTGAAATATAATCAAGAGTCTACATTGAACCCGTGATAGTTTTTTTTAATCCTAAAGACTCCCATGTTCAACACTTTTTCCATCCACTCATCACCACACCAGGCTCCTTTCTGGAGGCCCGCAAGTGGCCAGTGGTCCTTTGCCTCCGCGCACCCCGCGCGGTGGACGCTGCGAGTACCGCCGCGCCTCGCATCACCGAGCTTCAACGCCTTCGAGAGGCGCTCGCATCGCCTGAAGCGCGGCATCGCCTCCGAGCGCATCGTGCATGGCCGAAGATCGTGCAGCACTTCGTGGATCGGAGAGTGAGTTCAGTGTGGAGAATCGTGGGTGAGTGAGTTTAAACTAAGGATATCTTAATGTTTCAAATGAGTGATTAATTTTGGTGTATTTGGATTTGGTTGTTTTGGAAAGGGCGAGGACAAATTGGAACAACATCATGACCCTTTCATCAGTTCTACAGAGAGGTCGTGTGAAGCGGTCTTTGAATTATCATTATGAGGAGGTTTGTGGCACGATGCGCCCTTCCCCCACGATCAACCTCAATACTACCCGACCACCCCTGGTTTAAGAGTGGATTTATTCATCAGACACATCTATGCAGTAATTATTCAGTAATTATCAGTAATTCCAAGAAATCTAGACACAACGATGCCTTTTGACTCAGGAGGTTGTTCTTTTTTGTTTGTCTATGTTTGTTCGAGAAAGGCCCACCGGTGCAATTTTCCCGTGCCCAGGTGGAACAGTGTATCCGTGGCTCCAGTCACGAAAACCCTGCGGTGTTACTGGTGATGGGTGCGAAGGGAGTGGGAAAGTCCACGTGCTGCCGCTTCCTGGTGAACCGGCTCCTCTTGCAAGTTCCAGAAGCCCATGGGCGAAGAAGAAAGAACAGACGAACAGATGGTCGATGACTGACTGGTGTGTGGACTTATGGTCCAGGAGTAGCCATGCTCTTGACTTTCCAATTGGGTGAAGCAAGTTGACAAATGAGCCATGACAAATGAGCTTTACTTTCAGACTTTCAGGTGCTGTGCACGAATCTCCCGAAGGGATGTACAAAGAACCAAAGAACATCAAAGTATCCCGATCAATAAAAGAGACCAGCACAAGCATGTTTTTAAACTACAGGATCAGCTGGAAAACATCCTTGAAACCTCACTTTGATGAACACCAAGCCGTTTGAATCCCCCAAGAGTAGGTTTCCAAGGTTGATGGTGCAGAGCTTGCTTTTCAGCAGTCGTGTACATTAGGTTGACTTGATTTTCTTCTTTCATCTCACTTCAACTTCGCCCGGAGTTTCACCACGCTGGGTGATTTTCGGTCTCCCTCCCAACGAGCCTGCCTCATCCCCCCACCCCCCTCCCCATCCACTCGTCGCTCCGGAGCCGGTCAGGTCTATTTCTTAGAAACGGACCTGGGTCAACCGGAGCTGGGACCACCGGGAGTGGTCACTCTGCACCGGATCAAGGACCCCTTGCTGCAGGTGGGACGTACCGCGAAGTCGCGAAACGGCGCCCCGCCCGCCGTTCAGGTGTTGCCTTCGTTGAAGATGTTTGATGGAGGAGAGTGGATCTGTTCGGTTGAAGTACTGAGTACTCAATATGTACTCATGATGTACTTAGCCTGTCTAGAAAAGAATAGAACAGATATATATATATATAGAGTTCTTCTTAAAGCTTCCAGACTGCAAATCCTTTCTGGAATTCTCCAAGAGACTCTTTGCGGTCGAGTTCCTTCCCTTCAAAGCTGTTTGAGTGTTGTACAGCATCAACACGCGGGTGTCACGTGACTGTCCCATACCTGCCACTTAATTGGATCCGTGGCTGACCCATAGTTTTTCAACTAACTTTTCATACAAAAAGATGAGAACACGCTTTTCCTGCTGAAGTGGTACGATGAACTGTCCGACTAGTGGCCCTAACTTACCAAGAAGATCCGCTTTTCACCGATTCCCTCGGACATTAACTTTGAAAATTTACGCAGATGATGAAACACATGAGCGTTACTAAGATCGTTTCTTGTGTGGGGAAAAGAAAACTTCCCACAGTACTTGGCAGGGGGAAGGATTTGTTCCACGATGTATTGTTCACCATTTCAGCCCCGGTGTTTCGATGTTCAGCTGATCTTGGATCTTTCAATGTGAGACATTGGTTCGGAGGCTTTTGGCCGCAACCGCAAGACCCACCGAACCATTTGGGAGGGTCTGAAGATACACTCCCTCCGGTCTGAAGGATAGGGGGAGGTCCTCTTAATCTCCAAGCTTTGCTGGGGAGGCGCCCCTGCGCAAGCCCTGAGCGTCCATTCAGGTGCCTCATGCGGAGCAGCAGCTGCATGAACGTTGTGAGGCCTTCTTCGCTGGCGCTGCCACACCACAGAGTCATCCAGCTCTCTATACCGCCTCAGTGGCCAAGGCCTTTGAAGCTTATTGCGAAACCTGGTTGGATTGAGTGCTTTGTTGTTCTTTCTGTTCGTGAGGCATTGATTGTGTTTTATTGTTCTTGCCGGACTGAACTTGACCCAGAAAGGGGTTGGTCATTCGTTTTACTTCAGTAAAGGAGCGATACAGTAGATTTTAGATACTATGGACGATATATGTCAATGTTGGACGATCTTAGATATGTATACTATATAGGTTCTTTTTCACAGGGACGGTTTGGAAGTTTTTGGGTCCTTTCCACTGGGGTGAGAGAAACAGCGAAGCAGTTCCCTCCTCTCAGGAGATCATCAAGGGTCAGGTGAGACCTCCACCGTTGATGGTGAATTCTCATGGCTGGGTCACAGGCAAGCTGCTTGGGTTGGGTCCACTGTATGACAGCTTTTAAGAATAAGCCATGAAAGCAGAAGTTAAGGAGCAAAGGACAGCTATATTGATCACGGATGACTTATCCAATCGCAACATGCTCTTTGGTTTAGTTTAGGAGTGCTCTAACTCGGGAGCAGAGACCGTGTATATAATCTATGACATGTCGCACACCACGAGGCTTGTTCCGACATTGGAAGAGAACCCCCTGCGACGTAGCCGATTCCGAGTCTCGGGGACTCCATTTGTGGACAAAGCCACTTGGGGCCAGGGAGCTTTGAGCCTACGCGTCATGGAACGACCGAAGAACGACGTGACCGTCGTGAAGACAAACTGAAGACAGTCTGTGCTTTCAGTCTCCAACTGGTGTCTCCAACTGGCAGCCTTTGTTGGGCCCAAAAAGAAATACTTGGTGACCCGGTCCTTTCTCGCCAACAAAGGTGGTTGATCCACCTGTGTGGCACCATGCGAACGCATGCGAACGCGGTCACCGGTGAGGCCTGGGCCTCGAAATGCTTCAGCAGATTGTTGCCACCGTGGGTGCCCAGCTGGTCCTTCGTTTGCAGACCACCTCCCCGCGTGCACCGCGCGGAACGGCGGAAGCAGCGAAACGGTTTGCGAGGAGAAGCTTTTGCAGCGAAGGAGATGTTTGTTATTTTTTGTTGCTTTATCTCTTGAAAATTGACCGTTGGCCTCTCATTCAGACCATAAAGACACCATTGGTCCATGTTCGGTCCCACTCTTAGGTCCGACACCCACATGAGCCGGACTTCTTTTTCTGGCTAGCGGCTATCGATGAGGAGCTCCTTGTTTACTTGCATGAGATGTTTACCCTGTGTTTCCTTGGTGCTTCTGCACCTGGTACCGACTGTAGGCACATGTATGTCCACTTGAACTGGCCCAAGGAAGTTCTCTCTCCCGCTGTGGACCACTCGCCCGAGCACTGGCGAGACACCAACGGGGGCCTGATGGAGAGCCCTTGTTGACCCCAGAGAAAGAGTTGGTGTTGGTGGACATCGAGTCAGCCGTCCCACGCGACTCGAACTGCAGTTCGCGAGTCGGTCGGTCGTGCGAGGCAGTATTCGGCAGTCGTCGCGACTCAGTGAACAGCTCAAAATGTATGCAACAATCTTGAGTCTCCAAAGACCTGTTTTTTAGGCGTTTTTGTTTTTGATCTAATATTTCTTTCTCATCATTTGTTTGTTCATGTTTCAAGGAAGTCAATCAACAGCACAGCCTATGCCACTCTCTGGTTGTTGGCCTTTCCCATCGCGAGGCCATAGCCACTCTCCTACTGCTGTGCAGTTGCGATGGCTTCGCATGGCTGCTCATTTCAAACCGAGCCTGGACCCTTGCCGTTACGCTGAGGCCATGGCAATCCAGGATTTCTTCTCGGATGTACCCAGGTGGCTGGACAGCAGCGACCTGCCACTTTTCTAGTTCTTACTGTCCGATCAATTCAGATATTTTGAAATGATCTGAAAAAATACTTCTCACTCAGCCTGGCTTTCAGCGATCTTCACACACTACACCTGCACATCAATGGAACAAGCCTCCGCTGATGTGAGGTGGCACCTTCCACTGACGCGCTTTCGTTTTGGGCTTTTTGCTGGGCACTTGCTGCCCAGCGAGGTGGAGGCTGCCTTGACGGGCGCCGTGGTGGCCTTATGCTATGACGCTTGGGAACCCAACAGTCGGGCCGTGGCGAAGGCACCAGCAGAGCTTGAGATCTTTGAGCCACATGAAGCGCCAATCAAGTTCCTGGCCTATGCCTTTATCCATTCCTTCAACTTCAAGACAGGTGGGAGAGACTGCGGTTCGCAGAATATCCAGTCCACCCAAACACCAGTCAGGGGGGTGGTCGTGTCGACACGGCCACATGCGCTTCACAACATGATAGGAGCTTGCTTCTACTTCTCAGGTCCGGACATGTGTTTACCCCCCCAAAGGGGTACTATATAAGTGGATGAAAAAGTGGATTCTGAAACCCGTCGTCCTGGCCACAGTGAAAAAGCACCTTTTTCGCCAGGCGAGCTGGTGGTTTATGCCAACATTTCTGCAGCAAAGCTGAAACAGGTGAATTTGCTCCTGCGTGGAGAAGTCACCTGGGAACCCAACACCACAAAGAACTTACAGTTGGGAGATCAACGAGTTTCGCCACTGCAACTGAGCTGAGTTGAATGAGTTCTTCATGGTTTTGAGATGTCGGCAGATATGATATCCTGGATAGGTTGTTGAGATTTGTTGAGCCATGCAAGTGTCCTCTTCAACGGTCGACATGGGCAGGTCCCGCTTTTGGTCTGAACACACACTAGAGGTTGTTGGCAAAACATCCACGCATATTTCAAGTTTTCTCTCCACGTAATCGATGCATGTCGCTGAGAAGATGTGACAAGTGAAGATAGTCAGTTTTCCAGTAGTCACTCCAAGAACATGGAAGGGCATGCTCCACCAAAAACGGTCGTCAACCTGATTGCTATCCTTCTTGAGGCAGCCTTACTCAGCACCATGGCTGCTGGAGGGCCTGGGCGTTGGCACCCGGGTGATCAGTACCAAGGCCAAGGGCCACTTGCGCCGCCGCAAGATCCGCCAGCTTTGACGTCGACGGAGATCTGGTGCGGTCGCGACGTGAGTTGGAAGGAGCGGTCGAGAGAAAAAGAGCGCCGAACTACAGCACAGAGAATGGGTGGGAGTAAGAACGGAGTGGCGGGAGGTTGTATGTCATGAACCTATGTTTCAATTCAGCTCATATATAAATATATATATATATGTATAATTTTGTATAATTTTGTATAATTATGATATGTATCATTTATATATATATATGGATTATAGTTATGTATTATAATTACAGTTACTCACATGGTCCTGTAGCAAGGCCATTTGCAGTAGATGTTGATACTCATGACTCATGACCATCATTGTGGATTTTGAACCTCGATTTTTGCACTGCTGGTGGACGCTTTGGCTAAGTCAGCAGTGGCCTTGTAGCTTGGTTTCCCAGGTGATCCCAGAGAAACGTTTGGTGCCCGCTGCTGAGCTGCTACGCTTCTTGGCCACTGCTGGGTGGGGAGCCTCAGTCCACACGAAAACTGTGAGGGCTTGGCCAAGTGAAGATTCAAAGCTGACCTTGTAGATACCAACAAGGACCCTATAGCCTGTCCCATAGGTACCCCAGTAGGGTCCTAGTTCAGGTCACTTAACCTCTCTTGATAGTACATGTTTTCGACCATGGACAAGGAATATCACTACGTCACTGGAGTCGAGAATGAGGTCACACCGTGTTCCACGGGTTGGGTTGCTCCACCCCCCGGCTTGACCGCCAGGTTGCTGGCCTCTGGCTTGGCACGCGCGATCTCCGAAAAGGCGGGGTGTGGAGAAAGACTGACTGAAGACGTCGCTCGCGTCGCTCGCGCGTCAGCTTGGGGGCTTTCTCCGGGTGAGTCGGCGGCTGTGAGGTGCTGGAGGCTCTCACGGAGGCGGAACATGGGAAGACGAAGGTGCCAGTTCAGCCCTGAGGATGTGGGCCAGGTCGGGCGGAAAGCTTTGGAATTTCGACAGACAGTCAATTTTTGGGAGTTTTCCAGAGTTGAAAGCACCAATTTGGGTTGTACTGTCCTCATAACTCGAAGAACTCCGTTTTCCCATGTGGTGAACAGTGGTGGACATCTGATATCATCCGATGGCTGAAGAGCGAAGGTATTAGCAATGTCTTTCTTTTCTTTGCGGTTGTCTTGAAAGATCAGTTGCAGATCTTTGCAACGTGCATTTTGGATAGTAGCTGTGGAAGGGTTAGAAGATCAGAGTGTGGAAGACCGGGGGGAAGACCGGGGTCACGACCGCCTGGGATCGTTCTGCATCGGTCGCCAGCTGCATCTGCACGCACCGAAGCATCGGCGCAAGCCACCTGAAGCACCGAAGCACTGATGCCCCCAGATGATCCATGGTGGCGCACCGAAGCATGTCGCCTTGGCCTGGTGGTTTTGGGTGGTTTTCATGTAGGTCATATTTACTTCGATGGATCCTCTGGGATATGCTGCTATATGAACATGCGATGGATACCTCTCGAAATCAGTGGACACTTGGCATCATCATGATGATCCAGGATGGCCCAACATGTGTGTGGTGTGATGTGGTGTGTGTTGTTTTTTTGGGTTTGGTCATGTGAACGGTCTGTGGCGATTCCCAAGATCTCTGTGGCCTAATTCAGCTCCACCAGCTGCCAGCTCCCAGGCCTGGGTCATGGCACGCTGCATTGCTGGCCTCGCCATCGCCGTCCAGGCCGTTTTCCAACAGCAAGCGATCACACGGTTTGAAACAGCGAGTGAAAGCGACGAATGAGTTCGGGCGGGGTGCCATTCGGAAGGAATCCAACAGCTGAGATCAGAAGCGGTACCTGCACGAACGGCAGATCGATCATTTGACCAGTGCATGAGAATGCAAGACTGTTTGGACGACAAATGTACCTAGCGCTTCCTGTCGGGGTGCCCTGTCTGGAGACCTGTAAGTAGTGTGGAGATATCCATTGGTGACCCCTTGGAAGCAGCTGGTAGGTTGAATATGATGTTGTATTGCTTCGATCGACTGCAGTTTATCAGATAGACTTTTATATATAGCATGTTCCTCAGAATCGAAAGGTTGTGTTGATACATGTTGATGCTCAATCACATGAGACTCTTCAACCTGCCATCCCTTTCGCTCGCACATTGTGCTGACGATCCAATCGTCGACATGATGGCCATCCTTGATCCGTCGTTTGGCCAGCTCAGATTTGATTTGTTCCAGGTTTTTCACCTGTACTCCAGTGACAGACTCACTGATTCACACTCACCTATACCGCCCTAGATCTGGATCCGCGTACCTCTCAGAACTGTTCGTGGTGAAACCAACCTCAACCAACCACCCCGAAACCACCCTAGATGAACTCCCTAAAAAGGCCAATTCCTTCTTTTTGGCGGGTGATGAACTCTGATGAACTCCGGCCAATGATCCTTCATTTTTCTTGGGTGAAGGAAGTCAGTCAACTGCTGGGCTCATCAACTGCTCAGTCAACTGCTGGGCTCATAGCTTGGGGAAAGACGCAGTCAACTGCTAGGCTCATCCGGCCATTGTTCTTGCGTCCTCCAACGCTCGAGGTGGAGCCCGTGATCTCCGCGCTGAAAGCGCTCTCGCGCGCGGCGGCGCCCCGTGCGGTCGAGCTGCTTCCGGAGGAGTGCTGGGGGAGGTGGCCGGACCCGGGGAGAGAGGCGAAGGCCAAATAAAACAAAAAGATACAAAAAGTATATGTGAATTTGTAAAGGAGAAACAGCATAGCAGTCCAGCCGGTCACGCATGAGAGGTTGTGCTTGAACCCCGCCGCGCACAGAGCGCTCTTGGCACAAGGTTTCGAAAAGGCACCTCGCCGCGACTTCGCCGCAAGCTCGCTTTTGATGGTTAGCGGAGCCACGCTTTGTGTATTGTTTCTGGGAAATGCATGGAATTGCCAAGCCTTGTAGGTTGCATTTCGATGATCCCAATGGCGTGGACTTCTATGAGGATCCACACAGGGCACCTCGGTGATTTCCACGGCGAAACTCAAACCTCGAAACGACACCTCGAAACGACTCATACAACGACTCCTATGAGTTGCTTGACAGAGCGATGAGTTGCTTGAACACTTCTCAAGATCTATGTGGTCGGGTTCCGGCTCGCTTGTCTCCCACTTCCTTTCATTTGTTTCCCACTTCTTTACATTTGTCTCCCACTTCCTTTCATTGTCTCCCACTTCTTTTCATGTGTCTCCCGGTTCTTTTCATTTGTCTCCCAGGCTGGAGCGGTTGGACGCTACTAGGGGTTCTTGTGACTCACCCTTCCTTTTTGGATTCCAAAGGGAAATCCACCGACTTCCATGTCTGAAACTGTGGTGCCATACTGCTACGCCCGACGCCCACCGCGCAGGGAGGGTTGGGATGAAGCCTACAGTGCCTTTGCGCTTCAACGCCGGCAACAGCGAGCCCGTGTCGCAGGGGCCATACTACACCAGTGCCGGCTTCAACGTGTTCATCGGCAGGCGCGGAGTCGCGGTTCGCGGCGGAGACGGCGGGGGACCACCGCCGCGCGAAAAGCATGGCGACCGGAGCAGGGGGGGTCATGGGCATTGGTGGGGTTGGCTGAACTTTTGGGTGGGAAAATTGTGTGACATACCGACCTACTTATCCTACTTGATCCTGTTTGTAGCACTTGTCACTTGCCAGTCAAACAGTGAGCTGTCAGGAACTTCTTGGATTCGAGTCATCCAAAAAAGGTCAGACATAGCTTTCCTGAACTCCTATAGTGTATGACTAGTGGTATGACTACTACACAACACCTGTGTCAAACTTCGGAATATCCCCGCAGTCGCTGTTGCAACCACTGGCTCAAGGGAAGGCGCCACGCTACTAGGAGTCAGGGACACATGCTGGAGGTATGACCCCGCAGGCAGCTCAGATTCAGCGTGTGGTGAACCTTGTCGTAATGAGGTTCGTGTTTGGCACCAGATTGTGGGTGAACGGATGATGTCTTCTGGACGTCTGATAGCAGAAATGTTTGGTGACAGAACTGTAGAGCCGTTTCTGCTGCACACTTGAGCCAGCAACACGCATGCACAAAACCTATGGGATATGTTTCCCGAACTGACTACACAAAGAGCTACTTTCCACACCTTTCGGCTGCAGCTCGGCGCGCGCGTGTGTTGGAAAGCTTGGCGTTCTAAGATGAGAGTTGCAACGATTCACTTCCCAGAGATGGAGCAGAATGCTCTGATCCCTCTCGCGATGGACCTTTTGCGTGAGCATCTCGGCCATGTTTTCGAAGCCACGTGTTTCCGGTGCCTTTATGCCACCAGTGCTTGCATGTCAAGCAGCATATATAGAACTCCGCAAGGTATAAGGATATGAGGTTTCTGGTCTTCCCAACCAGTCTACGACACTACTGAAAAGCAGCTGTAACCTTGTGGCAGTGCGCAATGCACTTTGAGGTGCAGTCGCAGCAGCAGCACCGTCGAAAGCGCGAAGGCCCAGGACGCTCCGGGACCAAAGTTATTTTTTTTGTATCAAGAACCTTTCCATAGCAAGCACGACTCCTGATGGTTGGGATGTGGTCCACTCAGGGAACTCTACACCGTCTCCGGTCGCTTCAGGACCCTCTTCATCATCCAAGCACCCACCAACGGCACGAATTGTGCGAGCCTCAAGACAGCGTGTATGGCTCTATGGTGTGCTGATCAGTCCTGATCAAGATCTACCAGACTTCCCTGATCTTCCATCCGAGGACATGGACATCCTCCAACCTCTACCAAGCGATTGTGAGTTGATCAATGATGGAAGCCCGTTTCAGGGTCATCGCTTCGATGTCGTCTCCTCTGACCCGCAGGCCGAACACTACTGCAAGCAGGTGATGACTCATGCTCTTGCCAATGAACCGATGTCACCAGAGATCTTCCGCTTTGCCTTCTACCTCTATGGCCGCCTGCGCCTAGTGCGCGCTTCAGCTGAAAGAATCACCAAACCTTCAAAGGAAGAGGGCGAGTCCAAAGGCAAGCGCGAGATCGACAAGAGCCCTATGGAACCTGTCAGAAAGCTTTGGGCTCCCATCCAGTATGACATCGATGATCCCAACTCAGTGCACCTGCATGAATGTGAGGTCATGATGACCGTGTCGCCCGAGGAGGAGAGCTATGCCCTGTCTGCCGATGATCCACCTGGCTTAGCAATCCTTGATTCTGGTTGCACCCGAACTATGCACGGCAAGGATTGGGCGGATCAAATGGAACAAGGTCTTCTTGCCAATGGTTTGAGCTCTGCAAAACGAAGCAAAGACCAAATGTTCAGAGGCATTGGGGGCAAGATCCAGTCGAAGCACGTCCGCATCTTCCCGGTCGGCATCTATGGTGTACACGGAGAGGTCCACAGCGCTGAGACGCCTGGCAACACTCCGATGCTGATAAGCCGTCCTTTCATGGAAGAGCTGGGCGCTGTGATCAACCTGGGCAATCAAACTGTGTCCTTCACCACGCTTGGCATCTATGATAAGCCACTGCTCAAGACCTCCCGAGGACATTTGGCTTTGAACCTCCTCGACTTCGACAGCTCCAAGATGGATGAGTTTGAAAGCGAAGATGAAGAGACCATCCAAGCATCGCTCAAGTCAACAGCTGCGCCACCAGGTCTTTCTTATGATCCTGCTGCTCAAGCCCGAGACGAGTCTGACCCTTTCAAGAATTGGCTTGAAGAGATCGACCCCGCCGAGTACACCAATGATTTTGGCGGCATGAATCCCGATGACTACTACGACATGCAGGACGACCTGGCTATGTGGCGCGACGATGTCCTGGCATTGATCCTCTCACCGGCCGACCTTTTTCACAACAACAGATCCCTGAGGATCAGGCCGCCGTTTGTGAGAATGAGACTCTCTTCGCTGATTTTGCGTCCAAACATTGCTGCATCCGCAAGACCACCAACAAGAAAGGAAAGAAGCTTGAAGACATGTGCCGCTCACTGGATGGAGATGACTTCCTTCATCGTCGAACCCTTCATGGTCAACCGGCACGAGTCTCCAAGCATCCACCTGTTGGCAAGAAGTGGCTCAAGCAGATCTTTGCCGGTCAGATGGGATTGACGCTCATGGCAGTCTTCCTCGGCATGCAAGTCGGAGTCCCTCTTGACTCAAGCTCTTCTACATGGGATGCATCCACCAGTGCTGGTAAGAGGCACCTACATCATGACCTCCTCCTTGAGGACCCCTATGTGACCGTGATCACCCATCCTTGCGGCCCATGGGGCAACTGGTCAAGGTTCAACCTCGCCAAAGGTGGAGCTGCCGCTGAAACAGTTGAGTCTCTACGAGAACAAGGACGCTCCGTTCTTCGTGCGGTCAACAAGACGGTCAAGGACCGCATCAATGCTCACCGCCATGTCTTCTTGGAGCAGCCCTATGGTTCACAGAGCCTGGATGAACCAGAGATGAGTGATGTGAAGAAGATGCTCGATGATGGCAAGCTGGTCATGATCATCGTGGATGGCTGCATGGTTGGGTATCGTGATGCCGAGTCCAAGCTCCCACACAAGAAGCCCAGCTACTACATCACCAGCATGATCGCAGCCGAAAGCATCTTCAGCAATTGCCGTTGTGATCACCGCCACCGACATGAAGTTCTAGAAGGCAGCAATTGCTTTGGGTCACGAACAGCTCAGGCTTCAGTTTGGCCTACTCAGCTAAACAACCTGGTCCTCATGACCATGATCCAGCAGGCCGAGATTGAGAAGAATGCCTACAAGAATGTCCAAGAGGCCTACCCTGCTGATCTTCAACCTCCTCGCCGACCTCGACGGCAAAGGAGGGGTCGCATGGCAATTCTGGCAAATCAATTCGGCGCCCCACCGGTCTACTTGCGACCTTCTCAATTAGAACAACCTCACGTACAAGAAGGCCCTGAGGATCAAGTCTATGATGACCAACCTCTTCAAGACCAAGAACTCCGTGAACATGTTGCCGCTGGGCTTGATCCAATCCTCAGCAGACCTGAGGCTCAGCGCCGTCAAGAATGGCTTCAAGTGGATCCAGATCTCCGTAAGGTCCTGAGAACCTTGCATGTGAACTTTGGTCACCCCACCTGCAACACGATGATGAGGATCCTCCGACGGCAGAACGCCAAGCCAGAAGCCATCCGTGCTGCTTCTCAAATGACTTGTGACACTTGTGGCGAGAGCATCACTCGACGTCGACCCAAACCTGTCCGACTACCAGGTCGCTATGTCTTCAATGACCACCGGATCCTGCTCGATGTTTTCTATGCCCGTGATGTCTCCAGCATTCAGTTTTCCTTTCTCAACATCCTGGACCAGTCCACTGGGTTCCAAGTGGTGTCATGCCTTGGAGAATCAAAGGGACCACCAGCTTCAAAGGCGGTCCTCAGGCACTTTCTCACGAGCTGGAGCTCTTGGGCGGGACTTCCAAAGTCTATTCAAGTTGATCGTGGAAGAGAGTTTCTTGCCAGCTTCGCCGACTACCTGAAACAATTTGGAGTCGAGCAAGAGGCCATGCCGCTCGAGGCACCATGGAAACAAGGCCAAGTTGAACGTGCTGGCGGTCTTTGGAAGCAGCTCATGACCAAAGTGGTCCAAGAAAGTCAGATCCAAGGTCTACAAGACATGATCACCGCGACCACCACCGCCACACAGATCAGAAATGCACATCCTCGTGCAATGGCTATGCCCCGAACCAGTGGGTACTTGGCATGCCCGAAGTCCGGATCCCCGGATCCCTGATGCTGGAACAAGATCAAGAGCGACTCGATCTCATCGAGGCAGCAGAAGATCCTCAGTCCGCTATGGCCAAGAACCTCTCGATCAGAGAAGCTGCCCGTGTCGCTCGAGTCAGACTGGATACAGACAGCCGCGTCCGGCGTGCTCTTCTCCACCAGTCAACACCTACAAGAGGCCCTTTCCCCATCGGTGCATATGTCTACTTCCTTCGACAACAAGGTGCCGATGAACGAGGCTTCAAATGGAATGGTCCTGCTCGGGTCATTGGGGTAGAAGTCAGAAACCCCAGACGCATGGCTGATGATGAAGAGCCAACTACTGAAGGTCACCAACCACATTCATACTGGCTCAGATATGGTTCCTCCGTCATCCTGACTACTGGTGAACAACTCAGGTTTGCAAGTGAAGATGAGCTTGTGGCAGTTCACGCCATCCCTCAGCACATCATCGAGCCAGAGTTCACCAAGGGAGCCAGAAACTATGTGGACCTTCGTCCTTACGCCCTTGCAGTACCAGATCTTCCTGCTGAAGAACAGAAAGGTGATGTTCCGGCGCCAGATGAACTACATGACCAGCCTGACGGGCCTCCCCCAGCTGCTGCTGGGAATCTCTCTCCGCTACCACTTGGCGGAGGAATCAAGCGATCCCATGATGAACCAGATGGGAAGGATGATCCGGTCTCTCCGACCAAAGCTCACCGTACCACAGGAGAACCAGAACAAGAGCAAGGGCAGCCGTCAAGTGGTCCAGAACAACATCATGGAGCACCATCATCAGCCGGACCCTTTGCCTATGTCCCTGTCACTCCTCCTGTACATGTGAGCCATCCGGGCCAAGGTCAACTACATCAGGCACTTAGAACGCCTGACCGACTTGATGGACTACCACCGTATGGCGATGGACCAGCCCGACATCATAACAGGTCTGGCACCATCCCTGGGCCTTACTTCACTGAAGGTCCTGCTGAAGTTTTCCCGGACATGAATGACAAGGTGCTCCAATCAAAGCTCAAAAGGCTGGCAGAGATCCAGTCTGATTCTGAAGTTTCGCAGCTCGAAGATGATGCACCAGCTTCCTGGCCCACAACCCAAAGATTGAAGAAATGGGCCATGACGCCTTCCTCACTGGCAAGGCAGCTGCTCGCGGGGAGATTGACATATACAAGCTCTCCGAGTCAGATCGTGCACTCTTCGACGCCTCCATGGCCAAGGAATGGGCGTCTTGGCAGAAATTTGGAGCAGTGGATCGTCGGCACGCGGTGGGTGCACACCGACAAGAACAAGACCACGTCTCCTAGCTGCTGCCATGTCCAAGCGCACCAAGAAGACTCCCGACCAAATCAAGAAGGAGTTCCCCTTCGAAGCAAAGTCAAGAATGGTCGTCCAAGGCCACCAAGAAGAAGGTCATGATGGCATCAGCATCAGGACAGACTCACCTACAGCAAGTCTCCTGGCCTTCAACCTGATCTGCTCCGTAGCCGTCCTACATGATTGGGCAGTCTGGGCTTGTGATGCTTCAACGGCATACCTTCAATCCTCAGGTATCAGCCGGCTTCTCATTCTACGACCACCACGACCTCCACCGCCGGGCGTATCGCCAATGGATCTTTTCCGTGCCAAAGGCTCCATCTATGGCACGAAGGATGCAGGCAGATCCTGGTGGAAGAAGCTCTTCAAAACAGTACAAGAACTTGGATGGCAAATGTCAAAGTATGAAGCCGCCCTGTTTTACTTGTTTGAGGAAAACAAGCTCATCGGTGTCATGGCTTCACATGTTGATGACCTCTTCTGCACTGGCATCGGCAACAAGTTTGAGAGCACGATCAAGGAGCTCGAGGTGAAGCTCTACCTGAAGGTCCACAAGAATGACTTCCGCTTCTGTGGTAAGAATGTCAAGGTCACCCCCAACTCCATCGACCTGGACCAGTACGACGCTATTGAGGGCATCGAGTACATGGTCGTTGACAAGGAGCGGAGGAAGATGCCAAACGCCTCATTGACAGAGGCGGAGAAGACCGACTTCAGGGGCCTGATTGGGTCCCTTGGCTGGATCACGAGGCAAACGCGACCTGATCTCCAAGTCAACGTGAGCCTCGCTTCACAGACCATGGCGAGTCCCGCCATCAAGGATGTGGTCGAGCTGAACAAAGCAGTGAAGATGCTCAAGGACACCTGCGACAACAAGTACAGGTTCGTGAAGCACCAGGAAATGACCTGGGACAACACCATTGTCGCCGTCTTCGCTGACAGCAGCTTCGCGAACTCCCAGAACATGAAGTCCCAGTGTGGCTACATAGTGGTGCTAACCACTGAGGAGATCAAGTCAGGGGCAAGCGCCCCGATCATGCTGCTTGAGACCTACTCTGGGTCAATCAAGCGGGTCTGCCGCTCAACACTTGCGGCAGAGGCCAACGCCTTTCTCATGGCGTCTGAGGCTGGCGACTATGTCCGCTCGTTGCTGATGGAGATGAAGTTCCCTGGAACCTCTGTCCAGGACCTCCAGGAGTACAAGAAGGGCATCCTCTTGGCGTTCACGGACGCCAAATCGCTGGAGTCAACGATCGTGAAAGATGCAGGACAACCAACAGACAAACGGGTGAAGATCCTAGTGGCTCAAATACAAGATCTTCTTGGCTATGGCTCCTACGTGGATGACGAGCAGTACGTCATCTGGTGCGACACGTCACAAATGCTGGCCGACGTTCTCACAAAAGCTGGATGTGAGCGCACTCCGCTCCTGCAGGCGATGGAAGAGGGAAGATGGCAGCTTGAGCCATCAGAAGACGCAAAGCTCCGGAAGCTGGGCATCCGCGCTGGTCGTCAGCGCCGAAAGACAGCCAAAAAAGGCTGCGCAGGCAGAATCTCCCGTGAGTGCTCCGGCTGAGGAGGGGTGTGAATTTGTAAAGGAGAAACAGCATAGCAGTCCAGCCGGTCACTCATGAGAGGTTGTGCTTGAACCCCGCCGCGCACAGAGCGCTCTTGGCACAAGGTTTCGAAAAGGCACCTCGCCGCGACTTCGCCGCAAGCTCGCTTTTGAGTATATATAATATAATTTTGGGTGGCATCCGGTAGCTACATTCACCCATTTCAGCCCTAAATAGCTAAGGGTCGGGTCTCATGGGATTCTTGGGATGGATTTGGTCTGTCATTGGGGACATCGATGTCGCCCAGATGCAGAAGTCGGTGGCACCGGTGCGCATCGGTTCGCCGCTACATCGAAAAGAGCTCCCACACCACTGGTAGACCCATCTGTGCCACGGGTGAGGAGAGAGGCTGTCCAGTGGTCTATGGCCAGGTTCTATGCTAGCTGCTAGTCACTGATAGCCTATTTATAGTTGACTGGTGCTAGAAGTTCCGAGTTCCGAGTTTGCTGATCCCCAACACCCCTGTGTCATTGGGCACTGCCCTCCCTTCCGAAGATCAAGATCAGGAAATCTCGGGAAAATCGGAATAGGACATCTTGGGAGCTTCGGTTCCAAGGGCCGACATTGTTCTAAGTCTCCCCATTTGACCACAATGATCCTCGCGGAGACCGCGAGGAGAGGGCCTTGATCTTCTGGAGTCTCAGTTTGCAGAGTTGTTACGAGGCGCGATCGCACCAGCCTCTGGGAGAGCGCTCAAGGTGTTGAGTCGTAGACCATCCTGATCCAAGTTTGTCCAAGTTTGACATCCATTTACATCTACGTGAGTGGTGAAAAAAACAATAAAAAACACCTTCAACAGTTGGCGATTCTCTGAAACTCTCCCCAGTCCAGCTAGGCTTGACACCCTGATGGGCTCGGGTCGTAGTGCTCGGAGTCGTTCGGCGCGTGAAAGGCCATCTTCGATTCGGTCCTGGAACAGACTCCATGGTGGCGACCTCGGCGTCGACAGACGGTCGGAAGATCCGGTGTTGGACTGTGGATCACTTCCTCACTTCCTCACCCGTCACCTGAAATGAAAGGCGCTAAGAATGCACTACACAAGTTTGGTCCGAACAGGTCGCTCACCGATCGCTGCCTCCTCGTCGCCTCCTCGTCAGGACCTTCTGGGCGCCGAATCCCAAGGATCCGCAGTTCGGGCCGTTTCGGCGACCCGGTGACTAAAGGCCGCTCTTCAGCGGTGTGTCTCAGTATGAGAAGTTAGTTCTAAGTACTGAGCAATAAGCACTGGAAGAGCAATTGTTCTATTTTGTTCGGTTCATTTAGAAATGACCAGGGGCCAGGGGTGGAATGGGAACACACATTTGGTCTTTTGCTGATTTTTGCTGCTTGGTCAGTAAATAGCGAGAGATTTGGAGATGCGTTCCTGGACAGCGACCAGGTCACGGGTGTGGTGGAAATTGATGGAAGGTGAGTTTCGATCAGAGCAGACATGAGTAAACATCACATATGATCATGTGTTTTCTCCGTGGTTCAATTTGATAAGAGGTTTAGATGGTTAGGGTTCCATGGAAGTTTGTCAAGGGTTGTGGTGTATCGAGGTCTAATTCAGAGGTTTCCATTGAGGCCTCGCTGCCGTGGTTAACAGGAAGAGTTCATCGTAGAGGACGGTAACGTCATCCCCAGCGGGAAGCTCATTGCTCTTTGTCAGGCACCTGCCCCGCGCTGCTGTGTGAGACTTTCAGGATTCCGGGCTTCCCTTGAAAACCCAAACCTACACCCTAAAACTGCTGATGCCCTTAGGTCCTGCCGTTGTTTGTTGGAGCCTCCCAGGGGTTCCAGAATCAACGAACAGAAGCTCAAAAGACCACAGTATGGGTCAAAACCTAGAATGCTACAATTCGCCGGAATGATACTGTAGGTGAATGTTCGATTCATTCGCAGTGGCGTATGTTGGGTTTTATCAAGTGTTGACCAACATCGCTTTCTGTGGAGCTCTAGAGACTTCTAGGGGCAACTGATTGCTTTACAGCCGCAGAGGCACGGCAATTCTACGAAATCCAGCCGATAGGCTAAGCCGAAGTTAGTTGCTGCGGAGAATTAGAAAAGGGTGTGGGGCCTAAATGATAGTAGCCTTCTGGTGTTTTTACTTTTTGATGGGGACCGCCGCAGGTTCACTTGGCGGATCTCGCCTTGCAGCTCGAGGGCGGCCGCAATCGCAAGGGACTGTCGCCGGCACAGAGGCGAAGAACGGCGAGACGACCTGAGACGGGCTGTCCCTTCACTGATGGGTCCAACCAGCTTATTTGCGGGATTGTGTTATCTACTCTGAAACCACTGTATGTAGACATATGTAGACCAGTTTCTTGGAGGCTTTTTGTAGTGACATCCGACATTGGCCAAATCGCCGTTGTGTCCCGAAAAGGAAGGATGCGTGGCCTTGAAACTTGGGTGGTTTAGTTTCAGCCCATTAATTATACACTTTCTTGAATTGAAGAGTAAAATTAATACATTTGGACATTTGGATACATTTGGGTACATTATGTACAAGCATGTAAAATTACTACACAACACCACTCACAACACCATATTCATTCAGGGTTCTTCCTTTTGGAAAAGACACAATCGTGCTGATTGCTTGCTTGCTTGCTTGCCTTTCTTGCCTTGCTTGCCTTGGCTTGGCTTGCTTGCTTGCTTCGTTCCAGGCAACATGTCCTGGAAGCGGCTGGATTGATGCAGCGGATGAACCTGGATAAGGAACCATTGTCTGAACCCGCCGGGCGCGCCCAGGCGATCGCTCGTCCCGGTCCGTCTTCCCTCGTCGAAGGGATCACTTGCCCGGTCGTTGTTTTGGGGGAAAGGGTCATTTCCCCACGAAACAAGAACAGGTGGAAGGTGGACCTTGATTTTCCAGGGAAACTGAGGGAGTTACAGTAGTTTTCGGGGTCCAACATCCCAGGTTCAGGAAGAAGTACCTTCAAACGAGCCTGCAAACGATGTGTCTCATGGATGTTTGTTGTGGTTTCCCACTTGGATGTGTTGAGCTGTACGGGTTCTTGATCGCTGTCCTTGAGATGGACTTGTCTGCAGTCGTTGACTGCCAGACCGGGCCATACGGGCGTCTGCAGGGGTGCACTTGCAGTCAAGTTAGTTATAAATCACCATGGAGCTGCGTTCACCAAGGAGTTGTGTGTTCTCATCTACTTTGTGAATCGACAGGGCTGGTGGCGGGAACAATTCTGGCCAAAAAAAGACTACTAGTTCATTAGTTAATCCTTTTATGGCAACCTTTGGATCAAATAGGGGCCTGTGACACACGTGCCAAACATTGCCAAACCATGTAATTTTGGATACTCTCTTTGGAGGAGCACTCCACTAGTTTAACATGGATCTATTGTCGGAGCCAAACCACCAAACAGTATCATGCACATTCTGTTTGTCTACTTGTACATATCACGCTTCATCGTAAACGTGGATGTTCCCGTGCTTTATTCAACGTTGTTGGAGTTGGCTGGAGAAATGTCTACTCACAGCTTGTCCCTTCTTGAAGGACACATATTGCGTATAAGCTCAATCCTTCTTCGTCCTTTTGCCCCGTTGTTTGGTTTCCATCAGTTGTGCCAACCCACAAAAGTCAGGTCGCCCACCCCGTTGTTTGATTCCTTGCTTCAACGGAACAGCGCGCCTAGGCAGAGGCCATTTCTGAAGCTCTCAGTGCCATGGATTTGGTGCCATTGCTGGGGCATAGCTCGGTTGAGGGTCCAACCCTTAGGCCATCGGCGGCCGTTTACGGGAGACCGGTGACGTAGTGAGGGTGGGAAGACGGGGTGACCACCCTCACTGCCTCGCAGTTTGGATGAATTTCTCCCTATTTCAATATCCAAGTAGCAAACCTCCGATCTCTGAAGAGGATGCTCTCCAAAGCAAGTGGGTGGTAGTTTACTTTTGGGCTATGTATCAACAGCCTCCAGTTTTGGAGGCTGCTTTTGAAGTATAGCCAGAGAAGGCAGATTTGGAATTCGAACAATAATTGATCCTCTCCCCAAACATGGCATTAAAAATTGGTCCGCCTGAAAGGCCTGAAAAACGTTTTTGAATCATGCATGTCTGAGAACATGTCCATGTGAGTTTTGTGAATAGATAAGGTTTGTACTGTGACATGCCATGACACGCCGGGCTGCCCTTGTCATTGGATTGGTTTCAGGGAAAATCTACAGGAAATCAATCACCCAAAAACTATGGGTTCACTGTAGATGTTCCCCTAAACCAATTCTGGAACGTGCTGAATGCGCGACCGTTCGACCTGCGACCAATTCGAACTTCAAGCCCAGACTGGGACGTGGAAAGAGTGGAGCAAAACACTTGCACCAAGTCCCACGCAAACTCCGAACCCAGAAATCCTGCACAGTTTTGCGCAAAACTTTGTCATCCGAGCCTTGATTGGATGGATGATGCCGCAAGAGGAGTTGGTCTGGGGCATCTGGCCGCAGCCAGTCCCTGGCTGCACCCCACTCACACCTTGGCGGCCAACTCGCTGTGGATCACTCAAGACCATGGCAATGCGGAGCAAGAGCCAGCCTCGTCTTGCAAAAGTCCGGTGGAATATGGGACCCTGCCAACATGAAACCTGGGCAGCAGCCTTGCAGAAGCTGGAGGCCGGGATAGGGTGCCGCCAAGGGTTTTGGACCGGTCGATTTGACCTTTTGGTGTTTAAGGAAATCATCTGACCTCGGCAGAGATGTCTCCAAAACCGAAAGGCCTCATCCTAGGCCATCCATGGAACAAAGGGCCACCCATGGGGTTAGAACCTCTCTTGCGTCCTACCTGGGTTGCCCAGGTGGAGCCTGAGTTCTGCACCCTGAGACAGTGGAGGGGCTTTCAGATTGGTTCCAACCGCTTCCACGTTCGAATGAACTTGGACTTCTGTCACGACAAGCACGAGCTGGCGAAGGCCATCGAGACCGACCCGCTGAAGACTCGTTGCAAGGGATTCACGAAAAAAAAGAACACTTCCAGGCCTTAAGTGTTGCATAGATAAACCAATTGGTTCAAAAGCAAGGTGTGCAGGAATTGCTCTCTTCTCAATCTGACTTGGTCAGGCTTTGTTGCAAGAGCCCACTGCAGCTGCATACTTGCCTGAGACTTATTTGAGCATTTCAGACTTTGTCCAGTCCGGGCAGAGCGATTTGGAAGGTGCGCCACGACTCTTGTTTTGCTGGCGAACTGGAGGAAACATTGGAAGGGTCCACGACAGCTTGCGTGGTTAAGCGGGGGAGTTCCCCGGTAGAGAATTATGGGCAGCGGCACGATTAGACTTAGACAGGATTCCAAGTGTTGAAGGGACTCAAAAAGTGCAAACATAACTGTCCACTCCTGAGTTGAGCAAATTCAAGGTTTCTTTCACACTCCGCACTTTGGGCGAAATAAAACAACACCTGACCAGTACCAACATTGCAGATGAAACAGTCATCCTGTTGGGTGGGCATGGACTGAAACTTAGGATTTCTTCGTATATATAGATGCATTGCTTTTAAGGGCCTGGGTTTCCCTGGATCCGATCTCTCAATACCTGAGAAGGTGGAGAGTTCACTCGACCTAGTATAGGTCAAGGTCTACTTAGATCAAAAAACCATGGAACACCCAAGCGAATTGGCAGGACAAACCCACCGTTGCAGAAAATCAGCAGGACGTGTCTTTCCCTGTGATCCATTGGATCTGTTCCAACAGCCACCCACCGAGAGAGTCTGTTGCCGAAAAATCTTGATGGTTCGATGCATCTCCTCGTGCGCAGATGGCCGGTGGTTTCTCAAGATTTCAGACGTGGACTACGGCTGCGGCATCCTGTGCTTCGAGACGCCCTTGACGTCGGTGCAGCTGGAGGGCAAATTGGCTGAGCTGCAACAGGAGGCCCTGCGACGACTCACCGAGCTACGAAAAGCCAAAGGCTGCAAGCCCAGGGAGATTGGAGGAGAGGTCTGGGGAGCTGGCTGCTATATGGGAATGATAGGGAATGACTATCACATTTGTAGCGCAGAAAAGGACCTTGTAAATGGTTCTTGTGAAACGTTTGCTATGCTTCCAAGTGATCTTTCCAAGAGCCCAGTGACTTCATTCTGAGACCTCAGCTTTTTGTGTTGTTTGCCCTATGAATGTAGAAGAGCTTGGTAGGGAGAGCTTGGTACGGCATTTGCTGACTGGCTTTGCACGCATACACACACAGACACCAACGGCATTTGCTGCATTTGGGAGCCCAAAGTAAGCGGATTCCTCCAATCTCGCGTCTCGCCACGTCTCGCCACGTCACCTTTTTCGTGTACCCGGTCCAACTGGAGGACATATCGTCATTCAGAAGGCTGTCGAGACTCGCCTAGAGAAGGCACAAACACGTGGATTCAAGGAAGATCTACGGGTCTATGTTTGTGCCTTGGCCCCACGGACGGTCGGCAGTCCATGTGTGGACAGATCATTTTGGCGATTTGATATCGTTTTTATTTAACAGGATAAAGCTCTACTGACAAAACATACCTAGAACATCGTAGAACCCTTTTGATCTGCTCTTTGATAGGAAAAGCCCAATATTTTAGATAGTTGATCCTCCAAAACAGGGGTCACTCGGGTTCTAGGTATACATTAATAATCACATTTACAGTATTATACATAATTCACCTGTATGTTACAATGGTGCACCTCTCTTGTGCAAGTTGTTGTTGTCCCCTATCTTGGGTCAACTGGGACATCACTCTAATGAGTCTTTGTGTGTTTGACACCGGAAGGCTGTAGCATCTCCGTGCCCCACCGTGTCTTCGTGTACCGGCGAATGGGTTTGCGGCGAGCACCCGCAGCACTGGCGGCTGCAGCACTGGGAAAGCACTTGGACAATGCCGCTCAGTGCACACACTATGGGCACATCACTCCAGTCTCTTCTGCCGAGGACAAAGGGATGCCGGTCAGCCCGCCTTCGCATGCCGGCGCATGCCGGTGCTCCCTCTGAGGGAGTTGTTGAAAGCAATGCATCCGGGATTGAGAGGTGTGCCTGAGAGGCCAGTTTGCTTGTTTTCTTTTTTCAAAGTGTGTTGGGGCAACTGTTTGCTATGTCTTGACATCCCTGAGGACTGGCCAGCTTATCCCTTGATGTTCCCGCAAATTTGCCGGGCGGTGGGATCGATCATGAAAGTGGTAACTCCTGTGCTGGAAGAGCGGTGTACCGTGCTTTTGGGCATGGATTTTATTTGTGATGAGCAAAGGCCTTACTTGTTGGAGATCAATCAAGTGCCGCGCTTGTGCTACGAAGACCCGCAGGTCCAAGCATGGACTGAAGGGATGGCGATCGACTTCCTGCGTTTGGTGGTCCTCCATGAGACCCTTGGCAGCCGCTCCGCTTGGCTTCCGGTCTAGCGTTCGCAACGGAGCGAAGTGGCCACAAGTGGCCACAAGTGACGGAGCAGTTGGGCCCCAGCTTCCCTTGGGGTGTTTCAACAGCCTCTTGGAGGTGAAGGGGTGTCCACCATCCCACAAGTGGGTTCTGGTAGAAGTCAACCTTTGCTTCACAATTGATCACTTGTATGTACCCGTTTCCCGGCAGCCTGCTGCCCAAAGGCCTAGGCATCAAATGACACAAACAGACCTTACAAGAACTGACAGTTCTCGGAGTCCTTTAGTCCTATCACTGACACTTTGCCCCGGAGGTTTGCAGGTTTGCTGAAGTTTGCTGTGAACAGCACCACTTCAGGGTCACCCCAAGACAATGTAGAGTGGGTCGGGCATAGGTCCATGATCCACTGGTTAGTGCTGTCCAAGTTTTCCCGAGCTTCGCCCGCCGAGCCTGAACAACCGGGCTGCCATAGGCCATAGGCCATGGTCCTAAAAGGACGGCTGGTGAAGGGGTGGACAACCTAGTCTTTGAGCTTGGATGAAAAGGCACATCCACAGGAGGTCTTCGTGAGACGGTCGATGGAAGTGACACCATGTGACACCACGTGAAACCATTGATAGAAGCTGAATACCGCCAGATGTGGATGAGATTCCCATTTCAAGTTTTGAGCGTGTCGACTTTCTTCTTGGGATCACGACCTTCCGATCTGGGGGCCTTTGAAGTTCAGCTAGAGGGAGCATGCCTATACCAGGAAACGGCCCTTTTCCAGGACGCGGCAGGGGTGGATGAAGTGAACACCCCCCAATGTCTAATGGACTATTAATAGGCACCCCTCAAGGGCGGTGTGCATATCAGATAGCCGTATATGATATATGACATCAGACCATTCCCCGGAGCTTCAGCGCGGATTTCAGACGCATCAGAAGCTTGGATCGATGACCACAAAAGTAAAGTCGGAGATCCGCAATCAGAGAGGATGGACGGGTTGGGATGGACGGGTTGGGGAGATTCTGCAGCAAACGATGATGAGGGATTCATCACTGGGCGCCGGAGGGACTTTCACAGGGCGCCGGCCGACTCGCCTGTGTTTCACACAGCGAGTCGGCCGAGCCTTCATACAGTAATTACAGCACGGCTAATCCAGATTGGTCATTATGTTCATTGCTCCAGGCGGAGCATGAAGGGAGCAATGTCAATGTCCATCCATGGATGAAGTACTTCCTGAAAGGGTTTCTCAATCTAAGCGCTGCAAAAAGCAGCCAGACACCAGACACTCTCCGCAGTACTCTCAGTCCGTTTCTTTTTGTTGACCGTGCCCAGGTTTGCCGTTGGGCATTTGTGTCTCATCTCCAAGCATGAGGTGCCTTCAGCCAGTTTTGAGGTGGCCGTTGATCAAAACCCAAAATTAATAGAATAGACTACGAGACATAGTCAACCTGCCAGGGTTTGGGGCTTTAGTTGACTCATTGCCACGTTGGTGTTTCCTTTTTGCGAATCTTCACCTGGATGAATCTCAATGACTTGTCTTGTGGTAGAAGCCCACCAAGTCGGACCTGGTATTCTGAGATTGTGGTGGTTTGAAGGAGGACAGGGGTCAAAGATGGTCAAAGCAAATCATGCATGCAGGGAATCATTGGTTGGTTGGATATGTTTGGTGCTACATGCGCTATTGACACCAAAATCAAGGCCGTTTGGTCTGGATTTGTTGGGAGCTGGGCTGTTCCCCTTCCCTCAAGGGACCATGGAGCGACGGGCTTCCTACTAGGTCACGCGATAGGTCCTACTTTGTTCATACTTCCTTGATGGACAAGCTCCCAAGCATTCCATGGAGATACCTGGAGATACCTCGAGATAGCATTCCAAGCTATTGATACCCGGAGATACCTGATCCATGGTTACTTTCAGTTGCTGGTCGTGAAAATTCGGCGTCCCACCGCGTGGGGTCAACTCAGACGCCACTCGAGGCACACGACAGTGACCATTGAGGCAGGGAACGTTGAGGATGAGAAGACTGACTGCTGCGACTGACTGGTGCATGGGAATATTCAGGTGGCTGGATACTTGCCTCATGCATCAGTTTTCGTCGCACCAGTCTGAAAAGTAAGGGTTCTTAGTCTTGAAACAATCAGAAATGCTTGGAGTTCACCCCCTGTTTGGTCTTCGGAAAATGCCTTCTGTCGGGACCCTGTTCCACCAACGACACCGTCCGATGTGTGGCACAAGACCCGAGTTTCTATGGTGAATGCTGTAGGTTTTAGGGGTGCGACATCCTTTCTTTGGACCCACCCATTTGTTCTGACCGCCGAAACTGTTCATGATTGTATATATATATGATATACATTTATATATGCAATAATTGTGTATATATAAATATATATTATGTATACAAATTATAGAGAGAGAGGGAGAGTGAGTGTAATCTATAGATCCAATGTTCATGTTCACGACCAAAACGGCGGGTTTTGTAGACGTGGTGCTCTTCTCCTTGTATGCCAAGCTGGACAGAAGATCAGCTGCTCGTGGTGGTCCGACCTGGTCCGTGGACTGGACGCGCGCGACGCGCATGCGTGGCCCAGCAGGGACTGGACTGTCGCTCTTGAAAGTTTGGGGATTGACACGGAAGTGGCAATTGAGGGAGATCTTTCAAAGTGGAGGAAGATCCAGATGCTCGAGACCAATTGCAATTTGCTGCTTGCGACACTTCGTTCGCCAGGTGGATCAGCCTGGAGACTTTCTCTTGGACATCGACTCCAGCTATGCCCACCGCCCCTGGGTTGAATTTGGTGTCATTCTTTCTCAATGATTTGCAACCTTAATCTGGTTTGATGAAGCCTACTTAAATACAGTTATAAGTTGTAAGAAAAGGTGTGTGTGTGTGTGTGTTTTAACATCAGTAAGTATTTGGCAAGCCTCCTAGGCCGTGCCCTCCGAAGGCATTCAATCTTGACCCTGTCATGACGCAAAGTAACGAGAAAGCCTTGGCCTCGAGTCACAAGCACATTGCCCTTATCCCCATCAGGGTCACAGAAGTCCATTCTTTTCAAAAATGGACCCCCCGGAACCTTTATTGCATGCAAAGCAGGAATCTGTCCAGCTCGTGCTGAAATTGAAATGACCTGAGCTAGCATAGATGGGGTTTGCTCGGTTTTCGCGCGTGTCCCAATAAATGTTTCAGCGAGTCGGCTCACTGTCAATGTCCTGGTTTTCCCTTTCTAAGTCTAGAGAGACCACTGAGACCGCCTGCCAGCTAGTTGAACGATCGGTGGATCTCATTGTCTCATCCCAGCGACTGAAATGGGCTCCTGAAACCCAGTTTGCCTGCCTCACTGAGGTTTTCCACCAACAACTCTGAGGAGAAGATTGCTGTGGCGCTTAGGCTGGATGAAGGGCCTCAATCTTGAATCACTGGTCAGACAAAGACGGGCTCCTCCGGAAGTTCTTTCCCCAGTAGATATGCACGGTTGAGGCCTGCAGGCCTGCAGTGTCCGCAACACAGATCTTGGACACCGCTGTTTTGCTTCAGTAGCAAGAGTCGCATCGCTCTTTGGACAGTACCGAGTATACGGAGGGGGTTCTCCCCCCCCACCACCTTGCATCACTCAATTGATTTATGTGGAAACTAGAGGGATCTGAAGTTCCAGGACCACCAATTGAGTTCCACAGGTCATCACTCAGAAAATCCGTCGCATCACATGTCATCACCCCCAATTCGGTTCCTCTCAAAGGTCGAACTGTTTGGGTTTTCGCTGTGATGAAATCGATCCCGAGGGATGACCCTGGTGAGCGAGAAGTAGAGGACGCTGGTATGGTGGTCTGTCCTTTCTTTTGAGATGTCCAATTTCCGTCGAACACCTTTCCAGAGGCCCCGGCCCCAACGTGATTCATGTTGGGTCTTGAATATCAACTCAGTTATCGACCCCCTTCCCCAGCAAAGAACTGGGTGAGAGTCGATAATGATACTACCCCAGAAACAGTTCCAGTGGTAGTAATAAGAATAAGTAGTAGGAGTAGTAGTAGGAGTAGTAGTAGCAGTAGTGGCGGTGGTAGTCGTAGTTGTAGTTGTAGCAGTAGCAGTAGCAGTAGCAGTAGCAGCAGCAGGAGGAGTAGGAGTAGGAGTAGTAGTCGTCGTAGTCGTAGTCGTAGTCGTCGTCGTCGCCGTCGTCGTCGTCGTCATAGCAGTAGCAGTAGCAGTAGTAGTAGCAGAAGCAGCAGCAGCGGTACTAGTGGCAGTAGTGGTGGTGGTGGTAGTAGTGGCAGCACTAGTAGCAGGAGTAGGAGTACCAGTAGCAGGAGCAGCAGCAGCAGCAGCAGTAGCAGCCATCGTCGTCATTGTGGTCGTTGCTTTTTGTGGAAAAGTGTTTTGTTGGCTCCTGTTCCCTAAACCATTCTGGGGTCTAAATGATTCCGCGAAAAGTTTTATCCCTCCACTTGGAGGAGTACCATGCCCACGGTGTTCTTTTTGCTGCAGAACACAGTGATCTGTTGCAGAAATCTGTTTTCTACCTCAGAATATGTGTTGAAGTCAGTGCACAGGTCCAGGTGCATTTGTTTGTAGCCAGCACTTGGGCGATCCACCGGTGGCTGATCGTGGACCGGTGGCCCTTGACCAGGCTATAGCGTGGTGGTCTTGCCATGGTATGAGGCAGGACGATGAGGGCTGCGACCCATTTTTTGTTAATATTGGCACCGAAGAGTGCCAGCAATGGTCAATGTACTCGGAGTTCTTTCATTAAATATGATTCTTGAAAAACTGCTGTAGATCCACCAACCCAGCTCCATCATCAAGGTATCACCACAGATTCCGACGTTGGAACGATATGATAGGCCCAGATGTGTTTTTGCATAAAAGATGCTACAAAACTTGAGCCTAAACAAACACAGCGTTGCGACTTTAGTCCTTTAATGGGCTCCCGCTGGATCCCTGCTGCACTAGCAGGACTTGCACCACTCCCCAATTTATTTAATCGGACCAATCAGCAGCTCTCGAAACTTGTGTACTAAAAACATGATTTATCCACGGATGACTTTCACATCAAACCTGACCATCAACCTGGCGACCTCCAGGTCAGAAGCTGCAATAGTGAGCAGTTGCAGCAGCTACTTCGCACGAAGCTGGCTGCCGCTTGGCCGGACCTGGCATCGCAAACGACATGTTGCTGGCCAATGAAGTCGTCTTTCACTGAGTCTAAGTCTTGTGGACGCAGGCAAACACTCTTTCTGGAATCATCCAGTTTGCACCAGTCTGCAGTGCACATTGTGAGACCAAACGTTCCAGGGCTTAGTATGGTCGGTCTGGGCTGCTACGCTTGATACTGCCACCATGGACTGCACGATGCACAGTTTTGCTGTGTTTGTTTTAAGAGAATCGAACATATTCAATCATTGTAATTGTAATTACAGGTACTTGTAATTGTACAAGGTTTTCTTGCGACTGAACGCCCGGCCATGACTCCATGACCGAGCAACCTCAGCATTGCAGGTTGCTCCGCCCTCGCCCTTCGTGGAGACCGCGCGGCAGGACGGTGACGGGTCCAACACGGTGACGGTCTCGGAGGTCTTGTCCAATTCGAGCCGGTCTCCACGTTAAAACCATAGAGCCAACACAGAATTCATGCAGGAAACTCGTGTTTTCTCCGTATGAGATCAGGAAAGAACTGAGGCAGCATGCTCGGCAGCATGCTGGGGCATACTGGAAGCAGTGCAGGCATGAGTGAGATCATACAGTGTGATATATCATGTGTGTTGGAACATGAACTGGAAGAGTATATATTTATATACAGGTATATTATATATATATATATATGTTATATATATATATATACGCATATGTAGCCATTTTGGCTCAAGCTTGCTCCTTGCATGTTGGAGATTTTGTGGGCACCTCACGCTCCATGAATGTGGCGGCTGACACGTTCGTGTCTGCTTTCTTCGCGCTGCATAGCGCGCATGGCCGTGGACCAAGAGCACGAACACGAGTTGTCACGCCCCCGAAGGCCCATGGGAGGGAGTTTGCCCAGTTCCATTTGTTGCCTGTCCTCATCGCCGGCTCGCCAGCAGCGTGCGCGATGCGCCAGCGTATTAGGCGTGTTCGTGGCCCCCGCGTGGTAACGGCTGCATCACCAAGGATTCAGACGAAGCTTCTGGTTGATGCAGACTGTCATGGCATCGAGCTTATTGAAGACGCAATAAGTTCGTTGAAGCGAAGGAGGAGGGAAGTCCACACACGGATTTTTGCCCCTCCTCGACGGGCCAACAACAAGAGATGGGCTGAATTCCTGCAAGAGCCCAGCATCAGCTTCCGGCCAGTTTCTCGATCCCGAAGGCATTCACGAGAGCCAAACGATGAAGCCATAGTGAAAGCCATGCACCAGCTGTCCCGTCGTAGGGACATCGATTGTATCGCATTGTTGACTCACGATGCAGGCTACATCGACACCCTGACACAGCTCCGTGCAATTACTGGCAGTGCTAGCTTTGTCGTGCTGCTCCCTGAGGACAAAGGTTCCTTAATTGCAAGATACCAGGATGAAGGTATTGAAGTGCTGAAGTTGAAGACCATCAACAAAGACACCCACTCGAGGGTCCGGGCCACCCTTCATGGCGATGGGACTGGCTCGGTCCAACTGGCGGCTCCATATGAAGGTTTTGAGAATCTTCACGGGTCAGAAGTTGTGAGGAGCTTTCTGGCAGACTTGGGATATGCTAAGACGTCCAGTGACTTCAGCCTTGGTTCCAAAGACTTCCTTGTTCAAGCTTGTGCTAAATTCTGGTTTGCCAATGAGCTGGGGTCGCTGACCGTTTTTCCACAACAGCTTTCAACAATGGCAGTGCAAGAAGTCATGGCTCAATCAGCGTCGGGCGTTTGGGCACGTTACCTTGGAAACTTAGCTTACTTCTTGCCCTTTTCCGCCCGCGGTACCATTACCAAGACAGGGATTCAGACATATGGGAATAAAGTTGCTCGTGGTATCTTCCGGGCTGGTGGCCCCTTTCTTTTGCGAGATTCGTCGCGAATGCCTTCCTTGGCACTAAGAAGGCTAGGCTATCTTGACGATGATTTCAATGCAGATGAAACCGAGGCTACCTTGTGCTTTCTAAACGCTTCGGAGAACTCAAGAATCTTGATGACGATGGACTTGCTACCCCATCCCTCAGAAAACAGCAACAACGTCAAAGAGAAATTGCGAGCGGCATTTCTCTCCCATGCGAATTCAGGTCAATGGCGAGTATTAGCAAAACAAGAGAGGAAGATAGTGGACATCTTAATGAAAGCTGGGTTCCTTTCAACAGCTGATCGCAATCTCTCAAGGCATCAATTGTTTGATGTCATGGAGCTCTACTCTGAACGAAAGCAGCTGCCGCCCATGAAGACCTTTAATGGTCGTGCTTTCAGGATTCTAAGGGCCAACGAGAGGAATCCAAACCAGAGGAAGGTAATCGAAATTCACAGCTAATGCCCGCTGTCGGCCTTCTGTCATGCATCGGCATGCATCGACCCTGTTGTGCAAAAAGCAAGTCTATATATATATATATTTATATACATGTTTTGATATGTTATATTACAATATATTACATAATTACTTTAATATATGTGTATATAAATATAATTATGTGCTGGAAGGATGGTGTTGATATCTGGAGAGTTTGTCCGTGTGCCGAACCACCCGGGTGCCTTGAAGGGAGCCAAGCAGGCGCCGACCAAAAAGAGGAATGAATCTCATTCTAAGCATCCCGAATCCTTTCTGCAGCATCAGGTTGCTGATACAAGTTTAACCTTCCAGCTTTCTCATTGTTGAAAGATCCCACGTCGGGTACTCTTTCAAGAACCATGAATGTCAGTGGCGAAATCGGACCTCTTCATGACGCAGAAAAGGTGCGTAATCACTTAAACAACCCAAGGCGATGGCCACCATGGCCCGGCTTTTTCAACAAACCATCGGCCAGTCTCCAGGACTCCCAACGACCGGAGACTGCAGGACCGGGTGCTGAAAGAGAGGAGTCACTGACCATCCGCCAGTGACACCACCAGACTGGGAGTCAGGAGTCAACCACCTCTTCAAATCCTCAGAACCGGGAGAGGGTCACCAAGCAGTCGATGTTGTTATTTTTTGTGTGTTGAACTATTGCATGGTGCGCTCATGTTTTTTTCCAGATGTGTTCGGCCTTTTGGTCACGACTAGCTGTCCGAGGACATCCATTCCTTGGACCAGATACCAGCAGTCAAAGCAGCGAAGATGCTAGATCAGCTGGGAGCCTGAGGCCCACCCCTTCCTCTCAGAGCTAGATTGCAGGTACGTGGTGGCTATCTCAAAGCACTTGAAACCGTTGGTTTCTGGGTTTTGGAGGGTTTTGGGTGGTTTTGGATCCATTCACATTCAACCTATATCACTTGAACATGTTTGAAGGGCAACGATGCCTGACCACTGGCCGCATCGTCCAAGGCCGCTGGTGCTCTTTTCAAACTGATGAGACCTCCCAGCAAGATCTCTGAAGTGATGAGAGTAGGTGGTTTGAGGTCTAAGGATAGACCTAGACTTACATTAGATTTCATAGATCCGTCAATATCATCACCGGATCAGAGGAAGGCGACCTGGTCGAAACATGTGTTGCTTTGAATAGTGGCAAACTTGTTCAATTCTTTTGTGGAAACCTTAAACACTTTCCATCCCGTTTTTCCATCCCGTTTGAAGAATCATTGTTATAAGAGTTTATTTGTACGGTCTTCCACGGATTCATCCACTACCATGATGCTCGGATAGAGGGCATTAATATGTAATAAGACTACGCTCGCCAAAACAAACAGACAAAGGGAGAAACCCGTAATTAGAGGAGAATCATATATCTCTTCCGAGCTGTCTTGTGGTTTCCATGTTTGTTTGCCAATCTTTATAGAAACCAGAAACCACATGAAACCACATGAAACAGCAACTATCAAACCACCGAAACCACATGAAACCACACATGTATCAAAACCTCATCCCAGACCTCGCAACATCACATTCATCACAACGACTCAGGCCGGCAATGGCGCCCGACTCAGGGGCCAAATGCTGAGGCTGTGCAGCACCCCCCCGGCACCAGGGTTTGGTGGCGCACATGATGTGGAGAAGTCAGACCTCACCTGAACCTGGTGGGGTGAAGAGCCTTAAGAGGGGGCAGACCCATCATTGAAGAATTTGCAGACACGAGGTCCCACCAGACCTGTAGGCTAACCAGGCCCAGTCATAAAAAGACCTCACGAACGAAACACTGCCCAAGGGCTCATTGCTGGTCCTTCCAGCCCACCTATCCAATATGACTGGTCAAGAAAAACTACTCCATGTATGGACAAAAACCACTCATTCGGGTGATTCATGCGTATCCATGTGTATCCTAACTACCATGGTTTCAGATAGTCGATGGCACGACCATCCCCCCGCGGTCGCCGGCGTGACGCCGCCGTTCGTCGTGTCCGCCACGGTCGCTCCATGGGACCGAACGTCGACTCTCCGTGAGTGCCGTGAGAGTTCATGACGAAAGGCTGAAACAGCCGTCAGTTTGAAGCAAGACCGGATGCGATAGTCTATACATGTTTATACATCTTAAAGAGAGATTCCAGAGAATGATATAGAGTTATGTACATCCCCTTGGCAGTTACAACAGTGCGGCGATTGCAAGTCGGGCTTTCGACCTAAAACCTCCGGACCTCACGCGGCGATGGTTCCGCAATGAGTAAGATCTGCAAAAGAGTATTTTGTCAAATATGGCCTCCAGTCGCTACAGTCAATCCAAACGATTCAGTTGGCCCGGAGCCCTGAAATGTGACACGATCGCTTTGAAGGATGTAGAGCTCCTCATACTGCCGCCATGTCAGCGCAGTACATTTTTGAGGAGTTCAATGGAGAGGAGGTGAGAGCTGCCGAGGGGTGAGAGCTCCACGAGCGACGATGGAGCCTTAAGGGCCTTCACTGGAGCGGTATCTGAGTGGGTTGAATAGATGATATGTCATATATCGTTCAAACACATACGGTATTTGTATCATAATAGCAATAGGTGTATCGAATTAGCCCCTGGCAAACCAGCCATTCTTGCCGCTTGGCCGCCACCGTCGAGGTCACCAAGACGATGCTGCACGCATTGGATCGAGCGACGCATGCGCATCCGGAAGGACCTTCGCAGCTGGCATCTTATAGCCCAGATGCGCTGGCAGGTGCCAAGTGCAAAATATTGTTTTTTGTTTGTTTGTTTGTTTATGTTTATTATATATATATATATTTAAATAGATCAAGGATATCTTGTGTTTTTGTCTGAGAGGGGAGCGCGGTGAGCGGCGCGTTTTTTTCGATGAAAATGAGCATTTTTCAACTTTTTCATGCGTTTTCTTGAGAATGATTGATGTGTCTGACATTGCCTGGAAGGATCTGTCTGTTAGCATTTGTCATCCATCAAGGATTCAGGAAACGCCATTTGTAGCATTCGTCTGCTGTAGCAAACTCCGCCATGCAGTCTGAAGATATGACGTATGATGATTTGCATGAGGTTGTCAATGGCCTCATTTGCAGGAGCATCGCTCCCATGTCGCTCCCTCTCCAGCCATGCGGCTCCTTCAACATCCTCACCTTCCCTATGAAGGAACTGAACGGAGGGGAAACAAACCTGGTCCATGCCTTTGATCTCATCCAGAAATTTCAGGGCGACATCAACTTTTCTGACCTCAGCACTAGCTGCAAACTGGCATGCGAACGCAAGGATTTGCAGTATCTTCCCGCCCCTTTTGGTCTGAAGGTTGAAGTCCCCAAGGAAACGACCATCCAAATCGTCATCATCAAAAACTCCGAGGGTGAAACCACTATCTTGAAGCATTTGGCCTTTCCGGGAAAAATCAAGGCAACCTTCTTCAAACAGCTCATCTACGGTGAGGGCTTTCAATCTATGTTATGTGGGTGCAGCCTTCCCCAAAGGTGAGGGCTTTCCATCTACGGTGAGGGCTTTCCGGGGAAAAATCAAGGTCTCGACGCTCAACTACGGAAAGCCGGAAAAGATCGGCATCCAAAAAGTAGTGTATTCAAAGAAATCATCTCTGCTGAGCCTGCGTGTGCACAACAAAATGTTTTTTTCACCTGTCAGCAAGTCATGCAGTTTCAAAAACTCGTTCACCTGCATGTGTTTGCGTCGCAGTGCAAGGCTTGACAAATTTCACTTCCAAGGAAATTGAACAATTTTAAAATATCCCAGGACATCACAAAAATCCAAAATTCCAATTTTCAAAAAAACACAATTCTGCACAGACCATGGGGGGAAGAGGGGGTGAGGCAAAGTCCTGGCACAATTGTTTTTTTGTATTTTATTGATTTTTGGAAAATTGGAATTTTGGAAATTGCCTTTGGGGGAGGGGGGGTTGAGGCAGAATAGGATTCTTTCAGTGGCACAAAAATCAATAGAAACACAATATACAAATATAGAAACAAAATACAAACCAAATGAAACAATGCAAAAACGCGCCGCTCGGAGCGCTCCTTTCTGTTTTGTTTTGTGTTTATTGTTCTTTTCTTTGTTTAAATAGCTCAAGGATATATGGTGTTTCTTTGTCAAGCAGGTTTGTGACTGGTCATGGGCATCATCGGCCCATTTGTGATAAGTAGGTGGAAGCACAGGCTCCAGCTGGGGCATGTTCTGCGGGGCTGCAGACATCATCCAGTACAAGTGGCTTGAAATGGGTTGAACCTCTCAGTCATGACTTTACATGATACATGATGTCCACATTTACGGGCAGATGTCAATGAAAAGCATTGGCGATCATATTATATTACTGTATATGTTTGTGGCCCTTGCAAGGGTTTCCAATGGAGATCCATAAGTTAATAAGTCGTGTGGCCCGAATAGGTGCTCGTTGGGATTCTCTGATCTTTCTTAGAGAAACAGACCTTAGGGATCCAAGTACCTTCTCAAAAAGGTGGGACTGGGGTGGGTGCCATTGTCGGGTCCAGTCGTGCCTAACCTGAGGTTCGGTACGACTGGATTCCTAGGGAGAGAGATCGACTGGATGAACATGGCCACCGAAACGTAACCATGTTGGCACCCCCAAGGTGCTGCACTGGCTGCGGCCAGCGCGCCGGAGGTCCAGAGCCACGTCTTGACCGAGATTGGCAGAGTTCTTTCGAATAGGGTGGGGGAACATGGCAAACGCATGCAAATGCAAGGTACCATCATGTAAGAAACATGAAAGTGAGACACAAACGGTTTTTGTAAAGGAATGGAAGATCTTCCAAGGGACATTGTCCAAAGTCTTCCACTTTCAGGTGTGTTGCTGTTGCTGTGAGGCTTCTGGGAGACCCTCTTTGCAGGGGACATGAAAGTGGAAGATACCGATAGAGTGCAGAGAGACAGTCAGCTGCCACTGCAGAGCACTGCGTGCCCAAAGGGACTATGTTCCACTTCCCTTTTTATGGGGAGGGAGTGTCCGGGAGGGTACACCAAGACACTGAGAGTTTACATTGCATGGTTCCGTGTAGTATTCGGTACGGTATATGTGATTGTATGTTACATTATGAGCATCTATCATACATCTTCCGAATGAATCAGCGATGTGCATCGGTTCTTCCAAACCAGACTCAATCCTGAGCAGCGGCCAAAGCTTCCCAAGTAACAACTTGAAAAGAGGTTAATGTAAAATGACTTCGCGAAAGGTAAAGAAGCTGTCACGAAAGATTCGCGAACGCTTTCATGCGCGAAATCTTGCGAAAGCTTTTGGAAAACTTGCAAAAGCTTGGGAAATCAGTTCTGTCCACGAAAGCTTGCGAACGAGTATTTTTACACAGAATGCAGCACGCGAAAGCCAAAACACAGGATGCGAAAGTGTCGCGAAAGTACTTGCAAAAGAAAGCCCATTACTGTAGAGCCAATTCTCGATAGGTTTTGAACAACGCTCGAGTTGTTTTCTGATTCCACAAAAATCAACACAAGACCTGTTATTGCTTTTGGCCAACATCATCTGCAATTCAGTCTCCCCAAGCTGAAAGACCTTCCTCAGCCTGGGCTCTTCGTGTGATCGACACCTGCAGCGCTGGAGGAGTCCCCTCCGCCGAGATTCTCACCGAAGGCTTTGACGAAAATCCTGTGGGCTTTCGCAGCGGCTGCTCATTCAGACCCCGAGGACAGGCGGAGGGTCACTACTGATGAAGGGTACACGGTACGGGTACACTCTGACCAACATGGAAATGATATATAGAGAGAGAGGAGGAACCTCGGTCGATAACAGTTTCTGAAAACATGGTTCTGAAACTATGATTCGGAAACTAGGGATGTTTCGGAAACTACACACATGACTGAAAATATTCCTTCGGACATTTCCTATGAACCTTTTTGGAATGTTTTGGAAGCTATTTGTTAAACCATGTTTCGGGAACTCTATTCACTTTTGGAACCACCTGAGCAGCGTTTTTTTTGTCTATGAAAGAGTTTATACAAAAGTGGAACTACTCTTGATGCTGCGTAGGCTATTCTGCTTGGGGGCGTAAGCTTGCGTAGGCAACCGCGTAGGAAAACATAGTAGTGCCTCGCGTAGGCAGATTTGCGTAGTTGTAACTTGGAGTAATTCTAATAACCTGTAACACGGAAAGAACAATGGACCGATATTCATCCTTTAGTTGACTTGCTTGGTGGCTGGTACTTGAAGTTTGAGGAAGTAGATCTTGAGGGATATGAGTGACCTTGTTGCTGTATGCTTCTTGGGGATCACAGTGCGAACACTGTGTGAGGGATTTCGACAACAGGGGTTTGCTGAGGAAAATGTATTGCGCGCCCATCGAGATGGGCTGTGACGTGGTTTTCTTTGAGTTTGTCAACTTGTTGAACAAACCGGTACAGTCAGCTTTCTGAGCCTAATTTCCATGGTCATTCACATATGTGCATGTGTGTACAGTACCGGCCGGTACAACTGTAGAAACGTGTGACAAGATGCAGGCAAACCCCGCGTATGCTTCGCGTATGCCTTGCGTAGATGCTCGCGTAGGCTGCGGCTTGGTTTGGAAGGGTTGGCCCACTTCTGTTTTTCATGCTTGTAACCGATAATGTGAG